CAAGTCAGGATTTGAGTATGGTTTAAAGCACTCGAAATCATACTCAAGTCCCTGCCATTAGGGTCGTATTTCCAGTGCTTGTGTCTCCAGTGCAATCCTGACTTGAGCATTGAGTAGAGTTCTAGAATACGACTCTGAGTCTCTTTCATCACTATTACATACAGTCAATGCCCTACGATACCGGACCTTCTAGCCGACCTTTTGGTTCTGAGAGCCTTCTTACACATACGACAGAATAATGTAAAGGTATTCCAGCTTCTTGGTGGAAGTTTGTATTCGTGTAATTAAAGGTCAAATTGGGTTAAAAAGTTTATTCAAACGTCATTCACTAATGATACAATAGGGAAGTCGTACCAAAATGAATTTTACGACTCACAGGTTAAAGGTTAAGTTTTGCTTAACATCTTTCCTCATACTAGTCTACACAGAATAAATAAATATGAATACGACGGTTAAAAATATCTTAGGGCATCGAATGTACCAAGTTTTCTATTGAGTCTCTTTCATGTAAGATCGGCTAGAAACCTAATAATTTGACCTGTTTAGCGTATTGACTTTACTTAACTAACAACCAATTAAACTACTAGTAGCTTTACAAATTAAAATGGAAGTAAATTAATTTGCTACTCCGCGAACCCAGGCAAGGTTAAATCGTGCAAAACAGCTGCGCTTGAGTGGAACATTTTTCATGCAGTTAGTATAATAAAATAAAATAAATAATCCAACCACAAATACAGCCACAACTACCACCAACAACAATATACCCGACAAGTGGGCCTCTCTACGAGGAATCCTCAAGGGTCTATCTTTTGTTGTTAAATGTTTTTTACTTCCACTTTTATTAACATTTATCGGTTTCCGCTAAGTAACGTCTGAATCTATTAAGCCCTATTAAGCTATATAAATTACCAGATATTCCGAAATTTATTTTCTTATCTTACAATCGTGTTTAAAGCGAGCGTAAGTGCCAATACCGCTAGACTGCCGGCGCAGGCGGCGGACCGGGACCGAACGATTTTAAATTTCGCATCTCACGAGGAGCATAATGGCCAAATAATCACAAATGTTATATGGGGTGATAGTAATCTTATTCAAAATTATATCAACTTGAGGTAGACGGTATTTTCCATTCTTCGCGATCAATCTCACTGTTCAGAAGACGAACACGCATATAGTAAAATAAATAACGCGCACACACTCATAGCCCCGCACTAGGGAAACCCTGTGTCGCGGGTACAATGGACACACACATAGACAACCACAAATTACACCCAAACTCACGAGAAAAATCAATGCAGGCCATACAAATATTTCTATCGGCCCGGGAAGCGAACCCGGGACCTCTGCGTGGCAATCCCAGGATGGTAATCGTTCGGCCACTGAGGCAATTTAAAATAATATTTATCTATATCTATCTTTATGTCCAAGAAATTACCGGGTTACAAAATCTCGATTCGTTTGTTCATCAAAAAAACCTCCCAAATGTCGCCAGAGCAATTAAAATAAAAAAACTTGCATATGTTCCCAACATTACCACTCCACAGCAATATAAAAAATGCACCTATGCACACATATATATTTTGAAACAAGCAAATGAATAGAAGTAGTATACCATAGTATAAATATACACGGTGATACTCATATACAATTACAAGGTACCACATGCGCTCGCCACGGTCTGACTCCAATCAGATAATATATTTAAGATAACATAACACACACGTGAATACATAAAAATGCACTTAACATGTACATATTAAATAAAACTTTCGTAACAATGCACTTTCTTTGAAAATTAGAAGTAAGGTGACTCGGTGATTACCTTGTGATTACACAATTGTGTCGAGAATAATAAATGAAAAAACAGTTCTTGATAGGCTAGGCGTACGAACATGAAAGAAATTTGAAAGAAATTTGCATTTTTGCATTTCGAATTAAGTTTCACTAATATTTGTACTATTAAGTCATGTCAATGTATTAAGTCGTGTATTGCATATGACGTTGTTTTGTTACCATGATATACAATTCTTTTTACGCTTGCCATGACTGTCAAATAGCTGCTATCAAAGACTTCAATACATAGATATAGTTGTTATAGCCATTGGCATGTTGGTAGCTAACGAGTAAAAACATACTTATAGCCATTGACTTACAAATAAATGGACGACGGGTCTAATACAAAAACCACGAAAAAAATGTCCCAAGTCAACCTATTCGAAATTTAAATTGTTATGTCATCGCAGTATCGCGCTGTCCGTAGAACAAATGAAGACTAAAGCGGAGTGTCGCGCTCTGTATACGATTTTAGCGCCTTACAAGTGCGGACACTTTTTAGCGCGGACCCGACGTCCATATAATTGTAAGTCAATGCTTATAGCACATCTTATAGTTTTAGTTGACACCTTCCTTCTTCCTGAAGTCAAAGCATTTTAACATAGTCAAACACTTGTGCGCTCATATTCATACGGTGCGCATTACGTACATTTCATTATGAGTAGTAATAAAAGCTTCGAAAAGTAAATTAAAATTGGGCTTATTCAAATTATGAATTTACTAAGTTGCCGAATAAAATAAAAGTGCAAATAAAAGTAACGAAACAGTACTACTGTACCAATTTCATTTATATTTTACCGAAAACTATTGTTAGCCAATTTAACGTAGATCGATAATTACAAATTAAAACGGGACCTACATTTCTTATACTTCGGTGCTTGTTAAACTATTCCACCGTACGGAAATACTATTATGAGAGGACACCATCGGTAAGTTCGTCCCTATTTAAATTATTCGGAAGTAGGTACAGACAGTGTTTTTTCGTGTTTTGTGATTTGAACAATTTCTCGATTGTTTGCTAATTATGATTAATTTTGTCGGTACAGTCTATGTTTGTTTTTCAGTGACTCATTTTAGTTCTTTGCAATTTTATTTGTGGTTTGAAACCTTTATTATTTCCCTTTGAACTACTGCTGGATAGGATTCTGGCGCATAGTTCATGAAGAACATGTTTAAATTATAACAAAGAGATTGAGATAAATTGTTGAAAGCGGTCGTATACAAAAAATAATATGTGTCGTGAGCGTCACCTATAGCGCGTGCGTCTAATTGTAGCGGTATTATGCATCAGTGCGTAGGTATGTCGCGGTCGCCAAGATGCACCATCTGTCAGTTTCTGTAAATCAATCAAACCTGAGCACCACTAAATGGCGTTAAATTGGGTTTCTAAAGAAAATATAATTAGAAAATAAACACAACAGACGCAAGAACACGTTAATTTACACCGCAATAGACCACAACTACAATTGACACAAATTTTTAGGAGAAAAGTTTAAAGATTCTGCGAAAGAAATTAATCTATAACTCTTTTTATGCTTAAATAAGAGTTATAAAATTGCTATATATACATAATTTTATTTCATGTACTTGACGTATGACGATTTGTGGCCTTATTACCAAGGGTTTGAATTATTATTCTTATTATTGATCAAACTAAGTGATAGTATAGCTTTACGAATTCTTCATATAGACATACTAAAATGACGAGTTAAATAAAAACTCTATCTAATAATAAAATTTTGACAACCTCGGTAGCCCAACAGTTTGCACTATAGGTGCTGCACAAGGTGATCTCGGGTTTAATTATCGGTAGAATTATAGTAGAATCAATTTGGGAAATTAATTTCTCAAAATTAATTACGTTCTGGGAAGTGCCCCAGAGTGAATTCCGATGCTCAAAGTACAGCCAGAAAATTCTCTATTTTAAAACCAGGCAATTAGTCTGGCTAAAACCATTATGGTATTAGATGCCACGTTGAGCAAATGTTGAAGAACTGACAACACCGACACTAATACTGTTCAATAACTATAGTCCATTTGTTTAGGTACTTAACTAAATGTAAACAATCTTGATACATCTTTTTATTGAAACTCATGCTTTACAAATCAATAGGTATAAAAATAGGCATGCAATTTCATATAAAGCTAAGTATTTGTATTTTGTATTTGAAGGTACGGGAAAATCATTTTATAAATGTATATTTCATTAAATAGACATCTCAAGATTGTTTACATTTATTTAAGTACCTAAACAGATGGACTATAATCAATAATGAAAAATAATAAATAAATGTATGTAGCTACCTGCCTAAAAATTTTCAATTGACTGTAATTTGCCTTCACACGTAGGTTAGTATCAGGAACATGAGCGAACAATGTCGGTGAGTGAGCAGGCGCTAGCGCAACGCAAGCAATGTGATTTTATGTTTGTTTGATAACGGTCGATGCGCCCGCGCGTTATAGGTATTTGAGATTAATAGCGGCCCAGTTCTGCGAACTAGATTTATGAACGTCGAGAGGATTACAAAAATCCTAATTATATTTTAGTTTAGTATCTCTGATACCCCTTTTTCTACCTATAACACTGTCCAAATGTCCAATAGTTAAATCATAAAAAGTGATTTACAGTAACGAGTTTATGCAAAGAGAATGAAACATCCATAATTTCGATAGGGCCATATGAAAAGATACGTTTTAAATATAAAACTACCGTGAGACTCAGACATACTAACTAAACTAACGGATAATTCTTGTATATTCGAATTTTTGGTCCACATGTTTCGGACCAGTCCGTCCTTAAGAATCTATTAGGGTTGAGCGGAAGGGACACTGGCTTTATTTCAGAATTAATTTTTTTACAAACAAAATTAAAGCAAGCCCTGAGCGCCCGATATCACTCAGAACGAGTGCGGGCGCAGACAGCGGAAGCAAGCAACTACCCTAGTTTGCTTCATTCTTATAAAGTCGTATGACTAAATACGATTAATATATAATTTTTTAATATATACGATTAATAAACACGATTGTTCCTGCATACGCAGGAGCAAAAAAGTCGTCTTAAATACGTGAGTTATCCGTCAGTTTAGTTAAAAGATAAGTTGACAATAATAATAAGGGATATTCACAATACACATAATTAGTACATATCTTTATTTATTCCGTTTCAGGAAACAAACACTGAGCTGCTCCCGCGTACGCACTTCGGCACATTCTACGATGGCGAGGCTTATCTGATTTACTCTTCTTCAGTGCCTGGCCAACCAGCTGGACCCGACGTTATCGTAAGTAAAAATTCTACAGTATAAGATTACAATATACCTCCACGGATGTTGATCTATAAAAAGATCGTGTATGTATTGATACAATAAGTATAGTACTAACGTAACCCGTTCATAGGCAGCTACCACTTTTAAACGTAAAATTAAATATTAAAGTCTGTCTTTTTTGAAAACGGAGTAAAATGACATTTGCAGGGTTGCCGGTTTTTATATAATTTTTATAATACCAATCGAAATTAAACAAGTCGTGCGCCTGATGGTAAGCTACACGCCTGTCCATAACAGTTGCAGTATCACTCAGAGCTTTAAATCGCAAAGATCTGGCACTGGCACTACGCCCGTCACCCTCAGACATAAGTTGACAAGTCCCATGTGTCTGTAATTGCACCCTTACGCTTCAAAACCGGAACACAGTAATGGTGACATTACTGTTTGGCGGCAGAAATAGGTAAGGTGGCAGTACTTCCCTGGACGAGCTCTTTGACAAGGAGCTCTACTGCTACTAAAAAGTTACGCCGTTCTAATGATTACCAATTGCGTTCTTGCCTTCTTTATTCTTATTTTGATAGTCGGCGTTCTAGAATCGAAATCAATCTTTATTCATACACTTTTGAATAAAAACAGGTGGATTTCATTATATGTATTGAATTCAAATGAAAAACTTTAAAATATGTCTCCTCTTTATATTTTTAATAGACATAGTTCTTTCTAAATAGAGGGTATGTTTGTATGACTTTCACATTGAACATTGAAAAAAATGACAATTAAAATAACCTGTGCCAAGCAGTTGGACGAATAATGGGCCGTTGATGATTCAAATTAAAATTCGGCTATTTATTGCATAAGTGTGACCAACATTCAGTCGATAGTCGACAGAATGTTTATCGACCGCAATCACTAGTTGTTTGCAAGCGGGCAACACTTTCGCGCAATCGCAAAATTGTGTTAGTTTTAGTTGATCTAAGCAAATAAGTTCTCATGGAAGTGAGTGACAGTGGTGCCAGATTAGGTGATTTTTCACCGTGAGGGCTACTTCGAGAGGTCGTGCGGCGACTAAAAAAGTGATCAGCGACTCGGCGATATTTAGGCTATGTTTTGGAATAGGAAAAGGCGATTTTAGGCTACTTAATAAAATGTCTGGGGAATTACGAACTTGATTGGGGATTTTGTGGGGAATGGAGTTGTAAAATAACTTATTTAGGGGTTTGAGTACTTCTACGTGTGGGGAAATTTAATTTGAAATTTTTCCATAAGAGTTTCGATGAAAAAAAAAATCGTAATGAAATGTACACACACCAGCACATTAAGCTACACATTGACGTATCTTGTTCCATTGCACTGGAGGCGATTTTCGAACAAAAATGTGTAGTCTGATGTGTCGTTGTCCGTACATGTCGAAGAAGATTCACAACCCTTGGATAACGTTTCAAATTCGCAACCCACCTTGGGCCAAGGTGGCGGACTATGACCTAAACCATCGCCTGAAAGGAAATCCGTACCTAGCAGTGGGACAAATAAAATGGGTTGATGATGAGCCCTAACTTTTTATTTTTCCTTTACAGCGCCGAGAAATAAAGGAAAATGGCAATGGAGAATGCGCAGAACGTCACATCCATTCTTGGGCAGGCGAACGTAGCGGGGCTCTTACAGCCATCGCTCTGCGACGCGGGACGCAGTTGGCAGCGTACCTCGGCGTGCCGGTCGTCATACATCGGGAAACTGCTACAAAGGAATCGCCGCGATTGCTCTCATACTTCCGAGATGGCATCAGGTTCGTCAAATGTTATTTTATCAAGTGGATTAATCACTTGCTATTCGCCAAATGGGACAGCATTATCATGACAATCATTTTCTGAGCTAACAAACCATGAATGGTCAACACTACCATAGTATAATAATAGATAAGTAAAGCAACTCCCACCTGCTCGGCGCATTGTCGTAGTCACATTATTAATTTAGTTGTACTAAAATAAAATAAAATAAAATAAAATCGTATTTATTTGACATGCCAAAGACTTGTAAAATACAAACAATTATTAAATATCAAATAATACTACAGGTTATTGTAAACATAATTTAAAAAGTTATGTAACGTGTTCATCAAAGTATTCTTGTGCAATATTGAAAGGCATGTAATATTGAAATAACCTTTGTTAAATACAGTATTTCCGTATTGATACATCATACCAGCATCGCAGATTCGAGCTACCGAATATGGGAGTTTATTAAATAGAAATGAAATGCAGAACAATCCCCACTTTCAGGCACTTTATTTCAAATCACCATAAACACAACACGGAGCAATCGGTTCAATTTAATAATGAATGGCGCGTGTGACGACTCTCGCTGTGTAACGTGACTGCACCGCGAGATTATGCGAATGTATGCATCAGTACAAGGCGCGCAGCGGGCGCTGCTATGTTTGTATGAAATTACCCTACTTGTCTATTATACTATGATGCTACGCTAATCTATAAGGATTGAATCGAAGAATCTATAAGGAAGGAATTTTCCTCAGGATTCTACGAAGCGGCTCCAACATGAACGGTGGTGCCAGGCTATACCGAGTGAAAGGCCGTAGACCAGTGTTGACCCAATTGGAACCGGTAACTTGGTCGCAGCTGGCTGCCGACGGGGTCTTCGTGTTGGACACTTCTGCTCTTCTGGTGCTATGGTTGGGACGAACCGCCAACTTGATTGAGAAGATCTTTGGAGCTAAGGTCAGAAATAGTGTAGATGAGTGTTAACTGCGAAATGCTAATATCAGAGAAGATAAAAATTGAAATATACAAAGATGTAGATAAAGAATTTTGTAACTTTCGATTGAACTGGTTTTGACTCCTGGGGAAGGCATTGTCATTCTCTAAAACCTTTTTTAAACGTTTCCAGATTGCATATCGCATGGCCCGAGGAGCAGACAAAGGCATGACAACGCGCCGCATCGCGATCGCTCACGATGGATACGAGCAAACTTTGCCTCTCGGCGACCGGGCACTTCTCGACGCTTTACTAGAGCTACGAGCACGTTCCGTTAGACCAGCGGCACCGCCTACAGACCCGTCAAGACCTGCTCGACTCTACAAAGCCACACAACCTCCAAGAGTGACATCACTCGCTGTACCAATACAAAGACCAGCCGCTAGATTGGAAGAAATAAAACGCGCACCGCTTTATAGAGAGGACTTAACTGATGACGTGAGTTTAACTTCCTTTGTATTCCCTTGAAGTCACGACCCGTAATCATATATTTATATTTTGCTAAGTTCGACTCGAATGCCTAATTGAGAAGTCTGTTAATAAACAAGATTCCGTGTCGATGGAAAGTAAATCGACTAACAATTTTCAATAATGTATTTATAAAAACTATCTTAACGTCAACAATTTTAACAGGGCGTATACATAGTAGACGGCGGCAGTCGTGGTGTATGGGCGTGGGTAGGGCCTTCAGCCGCTGGACCTGCAGCTCGCGGTGCGCTGGCTGCAGCCAGAGGCCTAGCGCGAGCTCGGCGCCACGTGGGTCCGGTTTCAGTGACCGCAGCGGGTCGAGAACCTCTGGAGTTCGCGGCTCTCTTTAGAAACTGGCGCTGGTGCGATGCAAGGCGTGACGTCAGACTCCGAGCTGCCAGGTCCGCCACGACAAGACTCGATGCTGTTAGCTTGGCATCCAATGCCTGGCTTGCAGCTGAGGTAGGAATGCTTTATAATATTTTCAATTATCCTGCAGTTTCGGCTCTGTGCGAAGTGCTGCCGCGGTGCACGTTTTTCTTTCAACTAACTACACACGTGAATAGGTGCACTAATGAACTTATTTTACTTGGAATCATGTCTGGTGAGATGTACCTGGGACAAATTTTTTTTTTTTTCTTGGGAAAATTAATTTACTTGAAACCAGGTACTTGGAACCAGGTAGGTGAGCACATGTTAGGGATAGTAGTAGTAGCTATCTTTACTTACAATTGAGTAGTACGCCTCAGTATTTGGCTGATAAATTAAACTGGAATGATAGGGGGAAGAGCAACACTCGACAAATTAGATACCCAATGTTACAAATGCGGGTTCGCCCACATCTGTCGTCATTCAGAGGCAGCTTCCGCTTTGCCGCCTCTAAATGTTGGAATGACCTTCCACCACCAGCGAAGACGGCTAGGTCTTTTTATACATTCAAACGAAAGTGCAAGGAATGGCTTATTTTGCAACAGAAGTCGTCATGTTCCTGGTCGGCTGTGGAATAGTGATCCGTATGGTCTGATAACAGTCCTGATTAGATTTGTTTATTTTTGCTTGATATGTGTATTATTATCACTTGTAACCAGTAAATAAATAGTCAGATTTAAGTTACATTAATGCTGTTTGTTTTGCTATAGTCCTTTTGTTTCAAATTATGTTCCGACAATATTCGACAGAGAACACAGACGGAGACTGAAAAACAGCGCTATGCTGAGGCTTCGTCCTTTTCATCACTCATAGCTCATCATTTATTAGTACATAATATCGTGTGATGTTCTATGTATATGTGTGGGTGTGTTTGATGAATAAAGTCCTATTTAATTTAATTTAATTTAATTTTAATTTTAATTTTGGGAAAAGATTATTATTATATTATAATTAGGTGGATCATTCTGGATATAGTTAGGCTGACTACACGCAGTTACCTTTATTTTTTTATATTAACTGCATGCAGTCGGTTTCAACTTCACGCATTAACTGCAAACATGCAGTCAATCTGTTAGCAGCCTAAACATAAGCACATTTACCCTAGTTGAAAATCATTTAGTATCTATCTATTTTCAAAGAAATCTCCCGCATCAACGCAACGCGCGCTCGTAGCTAGCCAGGCGTCTACAAACATAACGAATAAGATGATGATCGGCTTCTATTTTTTTAAATAATAAACATGTTTGAGCAAATTTGAAAATTACTACAATTATAATTAATATACAGGCGCAACTCCCTGATGACGGTTCGGGCGCGCTGCGGGTATGGCGCGTGCGCCGACGCAGCGAGGAGGGTGGTTCGTTGGCGGAGGTCGAGAGACCCCAAGCCGCAGTCTTCTACGACCGCGACTGCTACATCGCGCTGTACACCTACCACGCGCCCACTGGCGACCAGTCCATACTTTATTACTGGATGGTAAAGTTGACTAGTTAACCAAAAACCCATTTACAGTTATTTTATTTCTCGGGTTTAGTTCGGCCTTAAAATGTTTAGTATTCAATTCATTACAGGGTGGCTCTTCGCCAAATGATCTGAGGAATTTGGGTGCAAAAGAAGCCAAAGACCTCTACATTAAACTGGGGCGTCTTCCCGTCCAGGTATTTAAATGTTTTCGATGTTTAAATAGGTAGATAATAGATATCATTATATTGCCTAACATTATACATATACTAGAACTTCATATCGTGTTTTCCTTTCTAGGCGTGGGTTCACCAAAGTAAGGAGCCGGCACATTTCTTACAAATATTCAAGGGCCGTATGATCACGTACATCGGTAGCGCTACAGACTACGATCGTAAGTTTCTGTAGGGACGAAGAGAATGTAAAACCAAACTTTATCTCTGCCTCAGTGTCTCTGTACTATTTGTTGGGTGTGAGTGTTAATGTTCAGTATCCTCCTGTGCTGTAAATAAAGCTAGCTGGCTATACATCAATTGGTAAGGGAAAGCTGTAACATATCACAATCAACCCTAGGCTCCTACCCTAGCAGCCCAGCCCTAGCTATAAAGTACAATATATTACGTATATAGATGTCTGTTCATGTCACGTGAACAGAGAAATTTTTCATATGTTTGAACTAATTGAATGTATCATTATTATAGGAAAAAAAACGACTTTTAGCAGCGATACAAACGTGCGACTGCATCGATGCAAACGCCTGTAAATCCCAAGTATAGCGATGCAATCTCGCGTTTGTATCGATTATTCGCGCGCTTGCATCACGTTTGCATCGCTGCTTAAAATCGCGCATGTGTGAAAAGGTAGACGATTAGCGACTGCATCGCGTTTGCATCACTGCAAAGTCGCCGTGTGTAACCTCTCTAAATCCCATGTCGCAGTCCCATGCTCACGGCTGACCTAAATAAAAAATAAGAACTCTGTATCATCATTTTTAACTACCTTCAAAAAAAGGGGGATGTTCTCAATTCGACTGTATGTTTTTTTTGTATGTATGTTACGCGATAACTCCAGTATTTGAGAACCAATTTTCATGATTCTTTTTTTGTTGGAAAGAGGGTGCCTCGCTAGTGGTCCCATTTAATTTTGAAGAGACTCATCTATCTCTAAGGGTGGCTGTTCGCATGAAGATTCATTTTTATAAATAGCGCCTAAATTTTAGTACAATGAGCAATTATTTTTAAGGTTGATTTTGCTATTCTTTAATTCAAGGCGTTTTTCTTCAAAGTAATATACTTTGAGTAGTGAGAACCGATTTTTATAATCTCCTGTGTCAAGTTCCGTATAGTGGCGAACTAGGGGATGAATCCGGGTTTGTGCACTTTCCGGTAACCGATTTCAATAATACTTGGTAATTATATGTAATTCCACGTACTTTTGAGGCCGGTTTTTTTAGTACTCTGTACCGAGATTATTTCGATAAATCTTTGACACAGCGTATTCGAACTACGTTCTTGTTTAAGTTACAATCAGGTTCCATCCACAGCGACAGGAAGGCGCGTGGCAGCTCCAGCACGCGCTCTAATCCGCGTCTCCGGGCAGTACGCTCGCGAGGCCCGTGGGCTGGAGGTGCGAGGCGCAGGCGCAGGGAGCGAAGGCCCCGGCTCGTGCTACGTACTACGCGAGGGAGCTAGGGCATGGGTCTGGTGCGCTGCCACTGCCACTGGCGATGAAAGGGAAGTCGCCAAGAATATGGCCGCTGCGGAACACACTCTTGTCATGCAAGGTAACGCTGGCTAGTAGCCAAATGACCGGAAATAGATCCAAGACAACTCCCGCCTGTTCGGTGCGTTAATGGCGTCACTTCGCTCGGAGCGCGGGGTAGTCACATTATTATTTTAGTTGTACCTAAAGGCTGTTTTAAACATAATGTGAAAAAAAGGTGTTTATCACAGTTTTCTCGTGCTGCTACGTCGAAATAGCCTTTGATTAAAGCAGTAGCAGTAGAGCTCCTTGTGAAAGAGTTCGTCCAGGGAAGTACTGCCAGCTTACCTTTTTCTGCCGCCATGCAGTAATGTCAGCATTACTGTGTTCCGGTCTTGAAAGGTGCCGGTGAAATTACAGGCACATGGTACTTGTCAACTTATGTCTCAGCGTGACGGGCGCAGTGGCAGTACCCCTCAGATCTTTGCGATTTAAAGCTCTGAGTGGCACTGCGACTGTTACGGACAGGCCTGTCGCTTACCAACAGGCCCATGATTTGTTCGTTCCGTCATTTGGTATCATAAAGAAACAAAACAAGAAATAAGTCTGTTCTAATTAACTAACAGTACTTCATTGCGCGTCGTTGGTTCGCTTTCGTTACTTATTTAGGACTTCATTAAATATAATTACGTCCTTATTTCAGGAAAAGAAAACGCCCACTTTTGGGCCGCTCTGGGCGATCGTCGTCACTTGCTGGTCGCGTCTCCTGTGAAAGAAGTTGAACGTCCCCTGCCCCCACGTCTTTTCTACGTCTCTTTGGGCGTGCCCGGGCAGTATTCTTGTAAGTTGTTTACTAACACTGGATATGCAATTACATTTAGTAACATTATGTATGTGAAATCCCTACGATAACTTGTGTTATGAATTCAGAAGTTCCGTGCTGAACTTGCCTCTTGCAAACGCGACACGGAATCTCTACCATATTCCAGTACTGTCTTGCAGGGCAGTCCCTTGGTTGATGACGTATGCCAAAGTGTTCGCTTCTTGTTTTACTTTTTTTTGTAATGGATTTACTTTTTTTTCAGTTGAAGAAATAATATCCTTCAGTCAATATGAATTGGCGCCAGAAATGGCGGCGATACTGGACGCCCATTGCGCCGTCTTTGTATGGCTTGGAACGCATTGCTGTCCACGAGCTAAGGACGACGCGAGATCCATTGCAGACGCATATCTTGCACAAGGTAAATAGCTGAACTACTAGTAAACAGACCAAAATGCATCGTTTTTTTATTTGTTGATCGCGCCTCCATCGATAGAAGTACCGTAAGTGTCTCTTTCTCTCTTTGTTACCGATTCTAATAAGTTTTTTGGCAGGAAATATCAGATTTTTGTGGACAGAATGGAAAAGTAACTTATAACGAGCCTTTTGTTTTGTTTGCTTGTGTAAATAAACTCTATTTATGTATATCTAGATAAATTATATTATTAAACATTAATCGTAATAGATAAATCTTCGCAGCTCGATTTATGTGTTATCTGATTGACGTTGTGTTTAGATCCCGCCGCCCGAGACCCTGAAACACCTATCCTTATTTTGAGCCAAGGACGTGAACCGCCAAACTTCACCGGTTTCTTCCCGCATTGGAAACAATCTATGTGGAAGGTAAGGAATATAGAACATGAATGAGTGTGTTGCAAATCTTCGTGTTCATTCTCATTAAATTTTAATTACGGCACTACCTATTCAATAACAAAAGAAAGTGAACAATCTGCTTTTAAAATGCGGTGGGCGTACGTTTATTCAGTCAGTTTGTAATACAAACACTAAATTGTATTCATTATTAAACAACGGATTTTATTGAATATGACTATGATAGACTATTTCGTTCTCTAGGGTCATAAAACATTTAGTGCGATCATTAGCGCTCTCGAAGGCAAGGCGATCGTGCAAACTGGCAACAGTGCGCTGCAGAGTGGTAACAGCGCTAACCACTTCGACCAATACGAGAAGTACCCCATTTCTGTGCTACGAGGGCCTAAAGAACATTTACCGCCGGATGTCGATCCACTTGCTAAAGAGGTAAACCTGCTTCTTTTAGACTCAATTTACATTGCGCCGTTACGGCAGCGTATTTCGCCTCGCTATGCTTGAAGGAGCCGGAATCAGCGAGAATTATCGCGACTGTCTTGAGACTTTAGAAGGTGTTCAGTTGTTCAGTCTATATATTTTACATGACAAGGATGATGGATATGGATATGTTTCTATTTCGCTTGTTTGTGAAGTAGAAAAACAAAAGGAAGAACAGAAAGGGTACCCTTCATGGAAGAATAGCGTAAGTCAAGTTACGTCAAAAATGTTCATTGCTCCTTTGGACACAGAAAAGTATAACCCACATCCCCACAAATTCTTGCAACTCTATCGACAATATTAGTCGACGCAATAAACATTTTTGACGTAACTTCAATTATGCCATTCTTCCATGAGGGGTGCGATTAAGGAACAAAAATATTTGGGTTCATGATTTGTCGAAATCTTTTTGGAGAACAAGAACCATATTGCAAAGATTAACTTCCACCTACTTTTTACGACCTCTGCCCACGCATTCATATGCTGGCTTTCCACGGCCCGTGATTTCACATGCCGAGCAAGCTAGCACCGACGCGCCGTGGGAAGAGTGCCGTTCGTGCCGGCGTGGGTTCACATGTACGAGTATGAGTTTTTAGTGAGCGCTCGCACGTACAAATCGGCGCTGCGCGGCGTGGCCTATACTGTCACGGGCCATGGAAAGCTGCCTTTAGAATTGTTTTCTAGCTTTTACATTGTACAAACAATCATATTTTTGCACCAAACTTTTCATATGTCTTTCATGAAGAAGACTATGGATAGTATCTGTCTTGTATCTATGGAGAGGCCACAGGAGACTGACTACAGTCACGCTGACTCATTTTCGATTAGAGACAGATAATATTATGGAAAAGTTGCTTTCTGTTTGACGACAATCCTCAATTGAATTCCTCACGATGATCTTCAATTGTCAAAGCAAGTAACATTTTCTATTTCAGCTCTTCCTGACTCACGACGATTTTGTATCGACGTTCGGCATGCCGTACAATGAGTTCCGCTCCCTACCTGCCTGGAAACAGAAGGATCTCAAAAAAGCTGTTGGATTATTTTAAGCTACCATTTCGACTATGCTTTATTTGATTCGATTTTGCATCATCTTAACTAACTTTAATCGTTCCGGAAGAGGACTTTTTTATATCACAAAAACTCCGTTTAACTGCACTGTTCTCATTAAAGTTCTCCTGGGCAGGTCATCTTGGACTTTATCTGCAATATGAAAAGTGGGTATAGACTACATAAGATTATACTATTCATAGATAATGAACACAAATGATTTTTAGGTTCCTGCTAATTTGTTTGACTCGCACAGATCACTCAGTGAACGGTATTTAGCCTTTAGAAAGCGTGTTTTGGGTGGCAATCGTTTTATATCATAATATGTGTAATGAGATGACTGACATATATATAAATGTTCAATGGAAAATATATTCACCCAGAGCACAATTTCAGTGCATAAAACATTGACAGTTCCGTGACAGGTAGACTAAGAAATATTATCAGTATTTTAAGCAAAGGATTTATGTTAGAAGTCTAGATTCACCAAGTGTTTTGTGCACAAGAAAATTAATTTAAAAAAATTATTAACATATGAATATTCCACTTTGTTTTAGTCTAGTATTTGAGCAATTTTTTCACTTGTTAAATTATGAACATTGTTATTACATAATGATAAAAAAATATTATTTATTTCAATTAAATATTAAGTGAGTTGCTAAATAAAACAATGAGTTTTTTAAAATGTTATTTATTTTTCACAAATGTAGCACTTAGTAGCTAGGCATTAATTTTATGATAAAATTAATAATCTTTACAATATACAAATTCTTAAAAAAATCCATAAAATATTGGTTTATTTCAAAACATATGTACATTAAAATAACTACTGATACATATAACATAGTATGCCTAGGTGATATGGGAGTGGGCCGTTAGCTAAGGCACGTGGTATCATTATTATATGTAAGTATTGCATGACATAGTATATAAAGTATAAATAGTACAATAAATGCTCGAATGACCTCGCGCCCCGAGGAAGGACCCGAGCATCTCGCAATAATACAAAGAAACCATTTGAATCCCTACCATAATCCAAACATAGATTCAACAATATCATAATATAAATTATACCCACTAAATGATAAATTGTTACCGAATAAGCGCGAAGCTACTTGATAAGTTTTCTTTACAAATGAGAATCTAGCTAGTTAGGAACTTACAAATTTAGATCGATAAATAAAGTGTTACAATAAGAAATGTCAATTGAATAATAAATAATTCACATAATTATGATTCTACATTGTCCATTACTGTTAAGTGTTAGAAGACAATTTGGAAGTATTTCTGATACCGTCGTCTTTCAAGCGACGCGGTTAAAAAAATACTTCAACAAAATGTCACACTACAAAATCAAGTTTATAATTATGCATATGTAAATAACAGTATTATTATAATAATTATTACGATGATTTAATTAATAATGACAAGCATGGAATATAACGCGAACTATTTAAAACACGGCATAGATTGCAATTTAGTATTTTTTTCTTTGGCAAATAAACCATTTCCAAATGCGTGGTGTAACAAAAAAAATCTATAATATGGAATGAAACAAACACGAACAATGCAATAGCTGCCCTAATAAAGTACAATTTATAAAATGCATTTCAAAAATAAGTAATAAAACTACAGTGAAACGCATTTTGTCAAACACTTAAGTACGTAAATTGAAATTCGTAGTCAGTACATGATTTCGAACTTACATCTAAAACATAAAAGCAATAACTGGACAAGCAGAAGTGAACTTGAGTCAATATAAACTAAGATAAACAAAACTCAACATAGTTTTCGATGGAGGAATGTAAAGAGTAGAGCAATAAAGAGTGTTTTATATGTTTAACAAGAACCACTAGTAACAACATGCGCCGGAGGCTTGCTTCCCTAGCACCACAGGTGTTTCGACACGTCAATATCACAGCTATCCCGAGCCCCGCACGCTACCTGCCTGTTCCCTCTAATATAAACTATAACTTGCAATGTTTCCATGGACCAACCCGCTACTTTCACTCTATCCTAGTACCAGAGCATACACAGACAGGTAAGTAATCGTATTTAAGGATAAAATAAATGCGAAACATTTGCGTAGCTCATGGTTCATTAAATAACCGAAACTAGCCAATCAAAATGCAGCTAGATACGAAAAAATCTGACTATTTCGTGAAAGTAACGATTTGGCCTGTATTTAACTGACAATTGCTTCTGGTCAATAACTGATACGGGCTAGAATATTTCCTGTTATTTTTGTACTTTTATATCACAACATAAGCGGTTCAGTTAACTTTCTTTTCGAAGGCGCTATGAAAATTGCTTTTACAATAACAAGTGTACAATGTAATCATCCCTAAAATGGAGTCTCGACACAACCTTTGCAGTCGCGAAGAAAATTAACTAATATGACGTATTTTTTGTACATGTAGAAATTTGGACAAATAGGCAAACTTTGGCACCGATTTTTTGTCAGATACACATCTTTACGTAAGCCAATGATAAACAATATTATTGCTTTAAATATTTATCAATTACACACGGGTGTAAATTGTCCACGTACACGTTCGATATGCACTAAAGAACCCCTTAAACAGACTAATTAGGCAGCAAATTTTAATTAAATTGTTTGAATTACCTACCAATATGATAAAAATAAGCTCAATATTTATACAAACCACATGTATTTTATAGTACATACAAATTGATCAGTAGTGAATTGAGGAAGCCCGTAGGAGTCTTACGTAGTTAAGTAACATGCAGAATTTTGTTATAATATACCTATTGGATTGAGCATCTACCGGATTTAGAATCACTACAAAACGTATGGCACTGACCTTCGTTGAGTTGCTAGTTACAAAGAGTGTCTTATTATCTATAATAAGGTCCCTGAAACATCAATTGTACTAGGTGTAAATGTTACACTGTGTTGTGTTCAAAAGAACACAAAATTGTATAACCAGTGCGTCTGTGTAAATATGTTAAAAATTATGAAATTCAATTCCATAGCGTATCACTGTTTTAGGCCGTCGAAATTCAAATACACCACAATTATTAGACACTTACGGCACGTATACCAGTTTAGTCTTACAATATTCTATAATTTGTAGAGAAACTTAACTCTAAAGCGCTGCTATAGAGGAAGTTTGAATTCCGACGCCACTAAATTCATGCAATTATACCGATGCCCTCAATTATGTCTAAATATAAAAAAGCTTTTGAAAACAGTGCAAATACATTGTACAAAACCGTGCAGAAATCTTCTAATATAAATACAGCCCCTGTTACGTCACAGACGCGTATTTCAACTTAAAAAATATTACGCATTTTCTTTGTGAGTCGAGCTTTCTAGTGTTACTCTGTCCACCGCTAAGTGCCTGCCTAAGAGCGACAAAGACACAAGACTAACTGGACCACACGTCTCTTCAGTGCATGGAGATGTAACAAACAACCTGTTGATCGTCAGTTCGTGCAATCTATGTATTTGTATAATCCCAAATGTGAACCGTGGAACGAATCAAGCCGCAATTGTACGTAAAAATATAACAAAAAATAAATTCTAATGAAATGCTCACCTGGTTCAAAATGATCCTACAAAAATATATTTTCAACATAATTTCTGTAATGTAAATAACAAGTAGTCTATATGGTCGCAAAATATGCCGTCATAAAAGCAAACAAATCAGGTCGTAAGGTTATTGTTATCGCATGACAAAAGCAAGTGAATCATTCTTTACCGTTCGATCGTGAAAACCTACGTAAGCACGTCACCGCGACAACGATGAGTAACATTATCTGTGTCTAAACCAACACGTACATATCATACAAGCAAAATACAAAATAATATCAACACAATCACATTGTACCTAATATTTACATAACCCAAATTTAGTACTAAACGCAAAATACAAAAAAAAACAGTACAATTTTTAAGTCAAACGACATCGGAGTCGATTGGTGTAAAGGCATATTTTTACTATCAATAATATTTAAGTGCCTAGAAGAAATATTGGATTTCTTTGATGTTTGGTTTACATTTAACATTGTACGTACGAAAAAGAACCAATTGTATTTCTAAACACTTAAGTAAATTCCTGTATAAAAAATTGCAATATTCTTAGTGATATCCATAATGGTGACAATAATATTCAGCAAAAACGATCTTGAGCAGAAAATAAATGTTGTTAACCAACATTAATTGTCATCAATATTAATTGTGGTAGGTAATATTTCCTAGTAAACTCAAGCCAATTGACTGGTGTAACAAACGCATAGTCCATTTTGATAACCGTTGAAATAATGGCTTAAGTAAAACGAAAGTGGTTACGCTTCATTTTTTTCCAAATTCCATGAAAGATTAAATAGTGTCAACATTAACATGATTATTTGTTTATTCTTTTATATAAAATATGATGTCGACAGTGGATCGAACTAGCTCAGAATCTATTTATCTTTCCCTTGAAGATAATATTTCCTATTTTAATAGCATTTGCACCTTCTCAATATAGCATTTCATTGAAAATGTATTAAAACAAAGCGTTCATCATTCCGATGCTAGTATACCTTTATTCCAACGTATTTGGCGTTGGTGCCGATTCTATCAAACAACTCGTCTTTCTATACCGTTATTAATTTGAATAACTTAATGATTTCACCAATCAAAATCACTTTCACAGGTTGGTTATTTATATCAAAGTATTTGATACAATGTTGCCATTAGGTATATGAATTGTAACTAAATATTTTAAAAAGAATCGACAACAACGCAGTGCATGATGTACCTAATATGGGTAAAGCGGAGCCGGACGGGTCTGGTTGCGGCGGTCACTGGCGCGGCAAGGACGCATTGGCCGGCAAGGTGGAGCTGCGTTGGGACGCGTTCATGTACGCCGCCTTCAGGTTCGATCGCATCGAATCTCTGTGAATACATCGTGTCAAGCTGTACTTTGTTTGCTTATACGAAAAATTAAAACACATTTGAAATGTGAAAATTTAATATTTAAAGCGACATATTGCAAAGCCTTCACCGGGAATTTTTGTTTTTGAATATTAAAATCGTGTTTTCCAATATTGAACCAATCTTGTAACACGACAACTATTTTCTCTCAAAATCCATTAATGTTGTGTTTGGCTAAGCAGCCAAGTGTATAAGCGCCTCGATAAGTACGCTTTGAATGTAACCCAAATTTAGCAGTTTTTTTAACCGAACAAATTGCAAAAAAAGATGAATTTTAAGCTAATTTCTTTAATTATTCCCTCGCCTTTTTGTGATAATTATTACAAGTTAACAAGGCTGCGCGATTTTTAATTCACTCTTCAATTTTTAGTACAAACATTTTTTTCGTCTTTTTTTTTATATATGCCTACTAGAACCAAATGTATTGGATAGCTGACCTTTTCTTCGATTTCCCGGTGAAAACAGTTTGTATTGATAGGTTTATGTATGGACAACGTGTTATTATGTTACATGATCTCAAATACTTGATAACACATAATATGGCTTTGATACAGTGAATGTCATAATTGTATATACACATTCAATATTACCAAAAAAAATCTACACATCCAAAGTAATACATGTATAAAGAACAATGCCCATTTTGAACTCGCAAACTTTTTTCTCGCGCGTGACATAAATTTAATTCATAAAACTTTGAAATAAGGTGGAGAAAAAAGATATGATTTTTTTTAAATACGTAAAAAGTTCAAAAACAAACTCAATTTTTTATTTTTAAAATTCGTATATTTTTGCACCGTTTTCATCTGATTCGTTTGGTGTAATGAATCTAAGTATTACTTTTAATGTGTACTACTATATTATCTTAGATCCTAGAATAATATTTAACTCTATACTACACTATTATTAACATAACCTCGAAAAGAAAATGTTGCTTAAATCAACTTTCCCTAGTTAAAAAAACATAAATCCAGCACAATTAGAATCTATATGTAAATCCAAATTAAACCTGTATCTCCAGATGATGGTCGTCAACCTCTTTTTAGCTTTTTTCCAGGACTGTAAGGAATATACTTTGGGCATTGTTCTTTACAAATGAATTATTGTGACGCTCACTGTACGATATATTATATCAAATCACATACAACTTAGGGCAATCAGTTATCGGTGGAGGTTTTATACAAATTAGGGATCTGATGTAACCATGAATAGTTACGTGCAACCTTTTCGACGAACATGAAAAGACAAATACAAGTACCAACAAACAAGTCCAATCCAATCGAGGAGAAACGCTTCGAGAAGGGATACAGGTAATCATAATGTCGCGGAAATGTCCACAAACCAGTTGTACTATAACTTTAAGGCTCTACAAAGCCGCAGAACAGAATGGAAATGTCAATTATGTATAGTCTGGGAAAATTTCTATTTTGAAAAATCATATTTTTCCAAAAAAATAAGTGTATATCTGAATATTTTTTCTATATTTTTGATACCTGTCAAAAGTTAAAAATACTGAATTCTATTATGAACATAGATATAGGAAAAAAGGGGATATATGTAATTACGCTATGTAAGATCGGGTGCCGGTGTCGCCATTTTTTAGCTTGTGTGCAATTCAAACTTTACGCTCTATTATCTACTACCATAACTTAAAGATTTTGATTGGGTAGGGCTTAAAACGTGAAAACGACGTAACACAATTTTAAAATTTAACAAAATTAAACTTACAGTCACTTGAGTAAGATTTATATTACAATATTTCAGTATTTTTTTCATCCTCGTTCAGCCATTCACAATTAGGTGGCGTTTTAGTAAAAGTGCTACTAGTGTATAATAGCTAACTATTACACGTTAGATGGCGCTGAAACTCATTTCTCGTTACACTAAGAACTCACGGAGCGATTTTCACCTGCATCTGCCGCGGGACCGCGGCATCTGTAGAATGTAATAATTAAGTAGTAGTAGTAGCACATTTCACGGCGCGTTTTACGCCTATAGTGGTGACGGTTGCTCGCGGTTGCCACGGAGGGGTACTAGTAGAACCGCGCAAGACGCGATCACCTTCGCGCTTGGCGGCTGTCGTCGCCCGCGCACTTTGGCGGTCGGTTCCGGCGCAATGTGGTGCAGGCGCACGCGGGGTGAGTTCTCTATTAACCGCGCGACTTGCGGTTAACTCCCACTAACTTCGCGGCCAGTTTCGCAATCTCAACGGTTTCGTGCCCGCAACCGCGGCGACTACGTGCCCGCACAAACTTGCAGGGTTGTGAGTATTGAAATAAAACCGCTGTCTAGCAGAACCGGCGGGCGCGGATGGAAACCTTCCGTGAATTGTTAACCTTATTAATCTTAAACTGACGCTACTCAACGAGGGATGTGGTCCTACCTAATCGATAGTTAGAATTAATATTAAAAAAATATTCCATTTTTCGTACTATACCTACACTGGTACTGGTATATTATTAAATTAATATATTAATATAAATTATTATTATTTTCTTAATGGCGACCACTAGGCTTGGGCCAGCGTCACTTTTCCATTATATGTTACCACGGGTTGGTGAAGCTGTCACTGTCAAGAGTAAACTCGAACCATTCACGAATTTAATAAATTAAATTATGTTCTTTTTTCATGAAAGATTTATGTAGTTTTCTATAATTGTTTCTAATTTATTTTGCATGCACATGTAAAATAAAGCCGAATTTATTTTATTCATTTTTTAAATTTATTTGCCATGGAAATTTAAACAAAGTGCAGCTTCAATCCAAATACTCTACGTTTAATCTACGAGTATAATAAAATTTAAATATCTAAATTATCTAAAACAATAATACACATATATTTTTCTTCAAGCAACAGCAACATACAAATTGACATGAAATTGAAATAGTTGTCCGAAATATGAGTTGTGTTAATGTTTAGTAATAATAATAATAATAATAATAAAATAAAAGAAATCAATTGAACGTGAATGCTTTTCGCTTCGATATTTTAGGGACTTTAATTACAAAAATCATCTAAGAAATTCAAACATTTCAGTAAAAATTTATTGTCGATAAACATCAGTCATCGTAAATGAACATCACTATATTTGAGTGTAGAAATTTCTATGGAGACAAAAAGAAATTGAATTATAATAGAAATAGTAACTAAAAATGCAAAAAGCCGGTGGAATGTTATCTCTGGTTTTAAAATTTTCGTTTTCACTCCAATTTTTACAAGGTGTATCGCTACAACTTGGCAATTTCACGTTTTACGAGAGATCTTGTGTGTACAACGATCGTCATGTCACTGTGGCGATGTTTGTTGGCGTGTCACCTCAATATGATCATTTTGATCATATCGTGGCGACACGAACCACGCCCCCATACCAAATCTCCCCCTTTTTTTCTATATCTATGATTATGAATATAAACCAAGAAGGGTTTATACAATTTTATTTTATAATTCATGTTACATAAAACTTTAAAAGATAACGTAGAATGTGTAATAATTTTTGGATTTAAATATTTTTGAAAATTTTCAGAAATTTTTCGGAAAATTACTCAACACTGGGTGCGTTTCCATTATGTCGTAACGTTTTATTTATCGTTGGACTACTATCGCATCTAGCCTGTTCCCATATCACGACTATCTGTTGTGACTGTGTCGTGGAGGTTTATCTTATACTTGAACGAGTGTAGCTGTTCCCACTAGATCGTGACGACAATTTATCGGTTCAAGGCAGCCGCCTTGTCCTGTGCACGACAGAATCGTTTGAAGCTGCGATTATCTGTCGTCGCATTTTTATCTCGACGTTTTATTTATCGTCTGAAGAGCTAGAACAACAGCTCTTCCCAATGTCACGACAGTCTGTCGTCGTAACGTCAAATCAATAACGCCAGTTAATCGTGTTGTTCTATGTGTGAACAACTTCATCTAAACATACAAGCCACGACACTTTAAAGCGCACGACTGTCTCGTCGTCACGACATAATGGGAACGCGCCCTAATTGGGTAACACATATACTAGACACGAGTCAAAAATGTCGTACGTCTTCCGGAGAATTCCTACGCAATCTCTTGAATTCCGCAGCTATCGTCTCCTATCTAGTTTGTACATTACAATTCACATAAAGTTCATTATGCTATGTACAATTTCGTTACAAAAATTCGTGTCTATTCCGCCTCCGCGGCATTGCAGATTAAGCCTAAGATGCTTAATTGGAAATGATTGAAGGATGAGGATTTTGGATGCAGTCGTCACCACTGGTTTAATAACGATCACGACTGCAAAGTTGGAACGGAGTTCGTGTAACAACAATACAATGTGTACAACCGAGACTGTTAAACTTTTGTCGTCGGTGTAACCGTGTACATATACAACAACACACCCAAAACTTACACGTGTGATGTTCACATCAACCATTGTCAATTCACTTAAACAAGAAAGTAACTATTAGTATATTTTTAACAGATGGTGAAACAAACTGAGAAAAACATGACAATCATCTGTGGTTGATGAACTGAAAAGCGCAATGGGTAAGCAAAATGTGGCTAAATATCAATGGTGACCCCCATCTCGCACTTACGATTTGATGTTATCCTAGTGGGATCACTGCAGGATTTTCAACAAATGTTGGACAGACTCAATTGTGCTTGTGGACGTGTTGATCTCGGGATGAATTTCTAGAAGGTAAAACGCATGTTCAATGACCAAATTGCTCCGAGGTTTGTCCTTGTTGGTATTGTCCCTCGTAGTACTTCAGTAGTGTCTTTTAGTTACGTAGAAATCGAAAACAAACCCGATCGTAGAGTTCAGGAAGGTTCGGTCACATTTGAGAAGATGCATAACATAGTTTCGCCACCTATATGGCTTTAAAACGAAAGTCTTTCAAATCTGTGAGCCCTACCTGTTACGACAAACCGAAACGTGGACGCTGAGTATGATAGCGTTAGTTTAAAACTTTTTACTAGCAATGGGTTCGTCAAAGCGAACACAAAAGGGACAACTTCTGGAGTGGACAACTAGATGGAGCGAAGACCAGCGCAAATTTGCTGGCAGTGACGGGATGCCCCGAGTTGAAAGCGCGCATTGAGAAGGGTCTATTTCCAGCAGTGTACTGATGATGCTGACTTTGTTATTCGCTTAGTCAATGTGACTTAATATTTTATTGTACTAAACAATAGGATCAATGATAAGGATAAAATCTTTCCAATAATCATTAGGACAAGACGTTTACAAAATCTAATATTACAACTGACTCTAATACGAAGGACACGTATTTAATCACATTAACAACTAAATATGCAAATTACAGCCTTTTGCAACCTTCAGAGATTTTACTCTTGTCATTGATCCTACCGATTAGTGCCTGTGGATGTGGATGTGGTGCAAACTGACGGACGGCACGGCAGAGGACATTAAATTTATCAATGTATATTTTATCCAGTTAGTTCAGGATCGGAATGTGTGGAGATTTGCCCAGCAGTGGGACATATCAGGCTAATTGTAATATTACAATTGTAATAGCATAATATTTGAGGCGGTCCCTCTACATGTCCCATTGATTTTTTCTGCCCTGTAAAGTCGGTAGGAGATCGACCTGTAGCGCAATCGTATCAAACCAAAACACTGCAAGTCCAAGTACAGTAAGTCTAATTTAATTACAACAAGACTCGGCTGTTAATAAAAATACATTTATTAGTTTTTTAACAGATATAGTTTATAATGTAAAATTATAATGACTGGGTAGAATAGTAGTTTATGGGACTGAATTACATAATGAAAAATACGAGTGCGGGTTTATGGAACGTGCCAACAGGAGAGTTTCATAAAAACATTACATGAGGGTTTTAATGTCTAATTATGTACAGTTACATACACTTGGTGTGTTCAGGAACTGCATGTCACGACTGGCAGATCAGAACTATTAGCCCGTAATTATCAGCAAAATAATGCAAAAAAACTTATTTTTCACGCAACCGTACATTTTAATTCATAAGGAAACCAGAGTCGGCCCCATCTATCACATCGCACGATATCGAGTAAAGTGTGAGATTCGTCAAAATTGTTTGCAAAACATTTCATGTCGAATAAAACTTCATCTCAAATCATATTACAATTGAGGTCGAATCAAATTGTTTTTTTTTTTCAGAGATGTTCGAAATACGAATGTAATAATAAAATCGAATTTAATGTTATCATGAAGCATAACATTTTCACAGATAAGACACTTGTTCTATTTTTAGGGCGCGTTCAAATTAGCCGCTGTTAGATGCGCTGCAGCAGCCGCGCTGCAGCCACGCGACTGTCACTTTTCATACAATTTCTAGAAACGCTGCAACTGCGCGGCGGCCGCACGACAGTCGCGCTGCAATCACGCTCGGTTGCAGTCGGGGTTAGTGAGGCGTACATGTTAATTTTTCAAATTAACCACGATGGATGAAAATCGAATTGAAGAATTTATAGAGAATGTAAAACAACACCCTGCAATATGGGATAGCAGTTCCGCAAGTTATTCCAATCGACTGGATAAAAAAAGGCATGGGAAAATGCATGTCTAAAATTTATTGTAAATTTCGAAACTACAACTGAAAAATCCATAGCAGGCGAGTCATTTTTAATACCTATATGTGAAATGTGTGCCCCAATAACTAGGTAAAAGTAATGTTTCTTCGTCAGAATCCATCGCGTAACTGAGTCAAAAGATAAAACATCACTAAAAATTTGATCGCACTTCAGCAACGCGACTGTCGCGCGGCTGCAGCGCTTCTAACAGCATCTAATTTGAACGCGCCCTTAAGCTGATCGTAATTTGCGCTTTTTGAACACATCATATACAAAGTGAAAGTATCTTTATGTTACTAGACGTTACCCTCAAAAATTAGGAAAAAAATGCTGTTTTTGATATGACAGTGTATCTGTTAGACACGCCAGGGGGGCTAGTGACAGCGCAAGAGACAGTACCTGGGCGAGAGCTTGGTGTGGTCGTGGTTGGTGTGGTGCGCGGCGCGGTAGCCGTGGCGCTGCACGCGGCGCGCCAGGCGGGCCACCCAGCGGCGCTGGTCGGGCGCGCCCGGCGCCAGCAGCAGCAGCTCGCGCGCGCGGTCCGCGTGCAGCTTGCACGCCGCCACGCCCACGCCGCCCGCCTCGCCCTCCGACACGTGCTCCGCGTGGATCTTCATGCGGCAGCCTGCGTCACACGACCGCGATCGCGTCGATTACTAGCCCTTTCATGGGTACTAACAGCGTTTACCGTAAATATTAATATTAGAATATCGTCGCCTTACTTTCTCAAACTCGTATCTTAAAGCACAAAGTTGCTGAAATGCAAACAGTGGATTGCATATACGCTGATTTCACATCACATTTCCTTCATATTCACACACTGGCTTTAACCTATTATAACTTTGACCTACTTTCGAAGTAATGCATCCAAATTAACACCATTGATAAGAAATATAAAACAAATAGAAAGTTTTGCCTTCTCCTGAATAATCACTCTTTATAAGATACGAGCTTGAGGGTCGTATTCCGGAACTCTACTCAATGCGCAAGTCACGACTTGAGTATGATTCAAATTACTAGAAATCATACTCAAGTCCTTGCCATTAGGGTCGTATTTCCAGTGCTTGAAATCATACTCAAGTCTGCTCAAGTCCTGACTTGAGCATTGAGTAGAGTTCTAAAATACGACCCTGAGAAAGTAAGGCGTCGATATATAATATAATAACGCACACACTCATAACCCCGCATTAGGGAAATATATGTAGGCCACACAAATAATCCTCCCGGCCCGAGAATCGGACCCGGGACCTCTGCGTGGCAGTCAAGCATAGTAACCGTTCGGCCACGGAGGTAGTTAATGGTAGATATCCTCATATGGTAGATTTCAGTAGCAGTAGAGCTCCTTGAGATAGAGTTCGTCCAAGGAAGTACTTCCACCTTACTTATTTCTGCCATGTTTCGGTTTTGGAGGGTAATAGTGCTGGTGAAATTACAGGCACATGGGACTTGTCAACTTATGTCTCAAGGTGGTCCACTCAGATCTTTGCGATTTCAAGCTCTGAGTGCCAATGCAACTATTATCGATAAGCATATCGCTTACCACCAGGTGCACGATTTGTTCGTCCCGTCATTTGGTATTATAAAAAAAATCCCCGCAGTATAGAGTTTAACCATTAATATTATCTGGCGTCAATTGGTTATCGAAATTCAAGTATCAGATTTGTATACATTCGAGTATCAAATGTAAATGTAAATAGCGGTGTTACAATCCAAATATCTCCGAAACCGTTCGTGTTAAATTAAATTATTACTAGTATTTTCCAAATAAACCCACAAAAAAATGGAAATAACAAAAAAGAACTCCAGTAATACCATAGAATATTTTTTTTAAATCTCGTAATTACGAACACTGATGCTAGTGAGCATTAGTGAGTTGGCTGTATGATAGTTTTTTAAGTTTATTTACATGTAAGTAGATATATTGAAAAATTTAAGAGCAGCCGACGGAAACTGATTTACATTCTTACTCGCTCAATAAATAACAAACTTTGTGGGTCCTTTTTTTCAAGTAATGCAAACATTTCCGAGCATATTGAAGAAAAATAAATTATAGCAAATTGTTTCATGAACACGTAAAATGCTGCACAGACAGTGTAGTATTGCATCGTAATGCAAGTCATAAAACTTTAAATTTTAATTAATTTTCTATTGTTTCCTACAAGACTATAAATAATGTCACTGTATTGTTACCACGAAACGAAATTCTCGCTTTTTCAAATTTAAACTTATTTTTGTAAACTTTAAATATTTTAGAAAATGAAACTTTTTTTTCTGGATTTAATTTAAGATTTTTTAATTTTTTTTTTTCACGTTTTGACGTTCGGGATTTTTTCAACTATTTTCTTTTGTGACGGTATTGGTTTCACCGTGCGATATAAGAAAGTTCAACGGTAAAAGTCAACGGCCGATTCGGAATGATTTTTAACACAATATTTTTATGCGTGTTATCTGCGCATGCGATAAACGACAATCGAGCAGATGTGCTCCCCGGAGTATATAAATGAATATACAACGTATTTCACTGATATTTTTTTTGCAATACTAATAAAGATCATTTTGAAACAATTTATTAGTAAGTATATACGTACGGCGACACTCGTAGGCCTGCGGCGGACGGAACATGTGCCAGAGTGGGCGCGTGCACACCTCGCACGCAGTAGGGATATGATACGTGATGCTGACTAGGTCGTGCCCCTTGTGCTGCACCGTGTTGCCTGTAAAACACATTTAATCTATTACAGAACTATAATCTAACATAGCCAATGTACCACCTCTTAGTGTGGCTTGTTGAACGAGGCAATCTCAATATACTTCCAGATCAACAAAACCTATCGGATTAAATTTATTTTTTCCTATTACATATATTTTATTCATTTTTTTGTACAACTATGGTACAAAGCAAGCGTCAAATCCCTATTGCTTAGGAGCTTTCGATTCTCAATCAATAGAATGAAATAGTCGATATTAGTTATGTAGTCATTACATAGGATGTTCCATTATATGAGACACGGAGGAAAAGTACTTTAATTATTGTTGATAGGATATTTTGCTTCACGGACAAATTTTAGTTTTAAAAGTAATATTGCATTCAAAGACTTAAAAAATTATTTGTCTCATCAAAATATCGGTATTTTTCATAGATAGCTCGGATTATTTACTAATAACTACCCACCCAATATTTTTTTGTAATAGAGTTGCAGCTTTAAATTGTAAATATGGCTAAAACAAGAGCCCGTTCCCATTTGTCGGCTGTCGGGCCCGGATTTTAATCGGATGTTCCAATGGCAAAGCATTTTATATGAACCCCACACCCCTTGTTTTTTTTGCCTCAGGATTGGGTGCACCCAATATTTTCTTTCCTTGGCTGTCTTTATTCGTTTTCTTCTCAAATAATAATACATCACAACAAGAACTTCGTCGACGACCATCGATCGTAGTCGTCTCGCGTAGTGTTAAAAATTGGCATCAGTTTCGACCGTAGCCGACAACCTATTAATGTGAACAGAGGCGCTGACACCCGATTAAGATCCGGGCCCGACAGCCGAGTGGAAACGGGCTATAAGGGCAACTACAATACTGTCGTCCTAATCATAAACAACATAATCGAAATTTTAAGGGACACTTAGTTATTAATATATTTGCAATCAGCGCAACGAGATCTACAAAACCATAAGCGGTTTTTTTTATATTTCAGCGTAAATGACCTTTTTCGGAAAAACGTTAGGTGACAATATCTCAAAAGTTACCAAAATGCACTAGCGTTGTTTATGACAAGGATAGCACTCACTTGTGTGGTCTTGGTTGTCCTGTGGCGGGTCTTGCGCATCTCCGGGGCGGCGCGCCTCTCCCTCGCCGGCGTACAGCAGCTGGAAAATTCGCGGGATGTCCTTCGCGTCCGCTCGGATTACGTCGCCTTGTGTCACTGACCGCACGTGGAACACCTTGCTGTAATGCAACAACTTATACATTTAAATATCTGTATCAATAAGGACTGATTTACTTTCAAGCTAATTTAACCCCGTGTGTGTAGGATTTCAATTTTTAAATATATTTCAAAATAGAACATTTATTGCTGCGCGTGGTATCCGGGCACAGAGCTCTCCAAAAAAATATTTTATATGATAATTACTTTAACCAACTTCCAGCAGTAAAAATAGCTTCACTCAACCGACTTAAATACAAGTAAACTCCCAATTAGAAACGTCTAACGAAAATGAGCCGTTATATATTTTGTTCGACAAAATGGAGTCGGAGGAGAAAACTAACCTTAAATCCAAAATCATAACAGGATCTGTAGTGTTCTGTTTATCGTTCTCTGAGTTGTAGAAGATGATCTTTTTTGACGAGACGACGACGTATTGTTTCTTCCAGCCGTGGCGGCGTATGTTCTGTTTGAAGGGCACGGAGAGCCATCCTTCGAGTGTTTGTTCCGTTTCGCCATCCTCAGCGTCCGCTGAGGACTGCGACGCCGTCTCGCTTGTTAGTGCTGCTAGCTTCTCCTTTAGCTGCTCGATTTCTGCGTCTTTGCTGTCAACCTGCCATCAATTTCGGATTAATCAATTTATGTACATTTGAAAATTATTCTTATATTAATATTATACCTATGTGACAATTGCAGTATAAAGTTTTTTTTTATTATTTTTTCCTGTAACGGTAACGTGTTCTATAAGACACGGGCCCGGCTGTGGAACGTATAAAAGTTTACCTCCATGGCAAGCCGCAGTCTCGTCTGCTGCTCCTCGACCAACTGCTGCTGCGAGTCCTGCAGGTCACGCTGAATCTTGGAGATGTGCTGGTCGAACTTCTCTTTCTCTCGAGTGAGCTCTTGTTGTAGCTTGCGGTAGTCCTTGTCCTTGCGGACTGACATCTTGCTCTTGTTCTTTGTCGTCGCTGGATTCATGTCCTTCCTGTTTGGAGATACAATATCATATTTAGTTCAAATGCAAATTCAATTCACAAATAAAAGCGAAATTTAACGGTTCTCTTTGCATAGAAAGGATATAGAATAGAATAGACAAATTTTTGTGGTGCTGGTGTGGCGGAAAAAGTGATGCGAACCGAGGGAAAAAGAAAAGTCGTTATTATAATGTTGTCGTCGTTGCCTACCTACAAAACAGGGGCTATATTAAACTTTAAAATCTATTAGTAACGTTTTTTTTTTTTCAGCTAATATCCTATAGATAACTACACTCGAACTCAGTCATTATAATATCCTTAAGACCTCTGTGGTAGGCGAAGTATACCTGTTCATGATCTCGGCGAGTTTGTTAACAGCCTGCTGTTTGAGCATGATCTCGGAATTGAGCTTCTTATTGAGCCGCTCAACTTCTTCCTGCAGCCGCTGCAAAGTGGCCACGCGCTCCGCTAGAGACGTGTTACTGCGCCGAAGCTCGTCTACCTCCTGGAATTGGCGATATTAGTTACTGTATGCCCATATACCTACATCTATCAGACATTTGAAATATTATGAATGTTGATCTAAAAACACATTGTGAATTTGTGATGATAAGTTTATTGTGCCCAAACATCCTCCAGTAAATGCTTGTACCACAGTATAAAACAAGTAGTGTAACTCCATACTAACTGTACTTGAGTTGCACGGAGCAGGTCATACGCGCCATTCATTATAGTTTTGAAGCGTTCGCTCCTTGTTCAAAATATTTATGTGTGTCAAATTTATTTAACACACATAATAATTTATAATTGTATTATTTTTTATATATAACGCTACATTTACTGTATATATATATATATATACATATCCCATTTCATGATCATACCTCCCACAATCGAGATACTTATCCACGATCCAGGTATAAAATGTCAATATGTAAGTATGTAAGGTTATTTCAATACAGTACGAAAATATTTGATGAATATCTTAATTTTTTCAAATTATGTTTTGTACCTTGCAGATAGTAAATACTACAAAAACTAACTAACTAAAATAATAATGTGACAACCCTATGCTTCCAGAATACATTGACGCGCTTTACTGGCGAGAGTTGGCCTATTTGTCTTAATATACTATGCACGTACCATAGTTCCCCAAGTACGACCACGTGAAGACTTCTTACCTTCCGCTGCAGATCGACTGTGGCACACATTTCGTGGTTGCGGTCGCGTAGGCCTTGCACGAGCGCGTCTCGCGCGGCAATTTCGCTGCGATGCGCGTTCAGCGCGTCGCGCATCTCTAACTCCTTCATCGTCTTTTCCTTTTCCAGCTCAGCTACTGTCTCCTCGGCTATCGACCTATATATCAAACCAATTGCATTATTTAACATTCAATTCATTGCGTTATACCTTTAGAACAATAAAAACTTCTTAAGGCATAATGATCAGCTCACCAAAGTTCATGTGCTCTTATTATGCTTACAACTACGGCGTTTCTAATCTTAGTATATATATACGAAATCATTATATAAGTTTATACGAAATTTCTACCTTTGTACAAAAACACACATATTTGTTTCAGAAATCCTGTGATGTGAATACTAGACTCTCCAGAAACCCGAATAGACTTGTACTTGACAGTATTCCTATGACTGCTAAATACTGTAAAAGTTGTTTAAAAATGTGTGTTGACATATATCATAAAAATCCACTTGAGATTAAACTATTACACTTAAGTTTATTTAAAACAAAGTTGTACAAGCAGTTAAATAAAAATACTTTTTACAACCTAAACGAAATATTTGACAGGAAATAAGATCTAAGATTTTATCTTTAAGATTATCATTCTCGACTAAATTAATTTGTAACTTGACATGTTTGTGACATTTTTTATTGTGTTGTGGTAGTCTAATTGACCATTATATAACTAGACATTTGCATGCTATTTAATATATGCGAAACATGTTTGTAGTGGCACTGTCTCTTGTAACATCTTCTGTTATACCATGTGTTAAGCAAGAAACGAATTATTATTGTTATAGTAATCTTTTACGCTAAATTAAAAGCAGTCAAACTTGAGTGCTATAATTCAATGGCTTAAATATAAAAAAAAAACTAGTTTGAAATCTTTACAAAACCAAATTATGTGCTTTAAACAAAGAAGCAATACAGTTTTGCAAACTAAAGTGATCTGTGAGAGGGAGGAAGAAAAAACGGTGACGCAAAATCCTGGGTTTACATATATAACAACGCAAACTGGCAAACAAAAACACATGTAGAACGTGTATGTACTGACACTGACTTTTTCCTATAACAACGTAATGACAAGAAACCGCAAATGTGTTATTATAATATTTACTTTTCGTGAAAGATTTAATTGGACTTCAATAAGTATAAAGTATAATTTATTATTTGAGTGTTTATATAAAGAAAAAATTAGAAAACTTCGTATTGCGCAATGCGAGACAGAGATTCCATTCCAAATACATTTTGTAACACCTGTATAATCAGTGGAATTATACAAAGAAATAAAATAATTTGATTAGTTCTAGAGCTCAAACTTCGCCGTACCTGACAGTGTCACTTTAACTCATTTGCGAGGTATTCACAACATAGCCTCACCTGGCGATAGCCTCGGAATCTGCGCGGGCGATGGCAAGCTGCAGCTGGTGCATAAGACTTGCGCGCTCCTGCTCGAGATCGCGAGCGCTGCGCGTATTGTCCTCCATCTGCGCGCGCATCTCGTTCAGCTGATTGCGATACATGAGGCAGTAACGCTGCTCATTCTCGAGTTCGCACCGAATTTCTTCAATCTGTATAGAAAGTGCAGTTTCATTAATGGCTTAGAAATGTCATAATTAATAAATTAGATAATTAGTAATTTGGTAATTCGATATAATCTCTTTTTCCTATCGTATTGATGGCATACACCATAATATTTGCCTAGTGAAAAGTTTTGCCAATCGGTATAGGGTACACGCCAATTCGCCTGAAGTCATCAGGAACATAACCAGAAATAGAGACGAAATAAGGGCCATTCATCCCTGGCAACTCATTAGTTAAATGGACCTTAGGTCACTTTTAAATATCAACTCTCGTTTGCCCTGAAATCACAAATTAGAAAACTGGAATAGTAGAGCGCCAAGAACTGACCTATGTGTACGTCTCCGTATATTCCAAAAATATTCTGTATTTATTGTAATAAAGATAATATCTGTAACAATGGGGGCTATTCCATTCGGTGGTGTGGGAAAAACAGCAAATCATCTATACAAAACAAACTGACTCACATTTCATCGGTAATTAAATATGCAATTTTGCAATTCTCGTACATTATAGCAAAGCTCAAATTTTGAAGTGAAACAATTGTTGACACCCGTCCATTGTTTCGAATTCGTGCTGGCCAATCGGAGCGCAGTTGTCACAGTAATGATTTGGCAGAATAGTTTCCAAACAAATTAAATGACATTGCGTCTCTATTTCTGGTTATATACACGATGCCTGAAGTACAAGAAAGGATGGTAAGGTTCCTTTCGTGCACCGTTCGATATAATTAAAACAGCGAAATAAATTTAATCGCACAGAACCTTTTAGTGTATATTATCCATACACGTATAAGTACCTAACAAAGTACCTAAATTAATATAATTAAAATTACAAAGTTGTACTAATTCTAAACCTTTCTTTTTAATTCACACACTCATAGTGCGGGCACTAGGAAACCCCGTGTCGCGAGTGTCATGGACACGCATATAGACAACCACGAATGACACTCAAATTCACGAAAGAAATAAATGTAGGCCATACAAATGCTTCTCCCGGCTCGGAAAACGAATACGGGACCTCTGCGCGGACTAGTGTGGTAACCGTTTGACCACAGAGGCAGTTTTCTATTCGAAATCCTTGGAAAATAATCTTTCGAAGTGAAAATAAAGAAGCTTACTTATTAAATTCAAATACCAACGACGATGACTTAGAAAATAGCAATCAAATTTAAAAGAAACTAAATTTTTGTCGTAAACCGGCCATTTGTTAGACCACATCGTAAATAGGAGCCTGGTTGCGACGCAATTAAAACGTGCATAACATTCTAACTGGCCTCATCACTAGGATCCTTCCTTTATTGATACGCTTTATTTGTATTATTATAGTGTATTGAATATGCAGTGAAGTAACTATGCTGACTATAATCCAGCGAGGCTTTTGTGTTATAAATAGGGCTGCCTTTAGCGGCCACGTCAATCTATGACAGCCTTTGTGTGAAGAGAAATGTCTCTTACCCTATACATCAAACAAATTCGTGAGATTTTAAATTACTCAAGAATGCCTACTATATTTTCCTGTTACATAATTTGTTTGAATCTCAACAGAAAATATTTTTTCGTTCAAATGTTTATTAAAAAAATAAACAAGATGGATTGCTTTCATTTCAATTAGCAGCTGGATAATTACACTTTGCTATAAATTGTACATAATACTAAACTTTATAACCTTACAGCGTTTACTTTATGTCGCTGTCATATTATGAATAAGTTATTTGTAATGTATTGATTTTATTTAGCATAAGCCGGCTTTTATTGTAATTATGACAATGAATATTACTAAGCTTCTGACGTGGTTTCTAGATACGAACATCTTGGATCTTTCAAGTTAATTTCTTTCGAACCCGCTGAATTTTTTTTATTATTGAAAATAGACTTGAATCATACAACAAAATCATGAAAACTGTGCTAAGGATTCTTGAGCAAAAATCTAATAAATCAAAATTATATGATGTAATAACTAGTCCATCACTATATATGGATTCATACATTCTTAAATAAAACAACAGACATGAAATAGTTTCCTAAATTTCTCCAGCAAACATTAAATGTAAACAATTAATTAATTGTTTGTGTTTAATATTTTCGCCTTGAAAATTAATACGAACAACGGTGACTCAACACTAGTTATGTTTTGATCGATACAACCTGGACGTTTGTAGAGGCAGAATCGACATACTCTTGTAAGCATAGCTGTATCAGGGGGTGTACTCTCGATCTCCGTCCGACATCCGTCCGAAACAATTACTGTCAAATAAGTAATATTCGACAAAATTGAAAGACAAGTATCAAGTATGAAGCTTCATTCACTTCACGCGTCTTCATTTGGTCAAGTATTGCTTATTTAGCAGTAATTGTTTCGGACGGATGTCGGACGGAGATCGAGAGTAGACCCCCTGATCTTCGTTTTTCGTCAATAGCAAACAAACGTGAGCTTAACTCTAACAAAAATAATAAGAAAGTCGTGTATTTGACACATCGCATAAAAGAGAGGAGGGGAATAAAAAGGTCACATGTATTTAACGTGTATAATCGACATATGTGTTTCACGCACGTGTTGAATTATCACGTTCCATTATCGTATCGGCACTCTAAATAAAGGGCTTTTCAAAAGCGAGCGTCACTAGGATTGCCCACTTCGTAGGCGGATTGGCACTCGCAGTTAGAGATCGAAAGGGTGAATCGTTATGCGCCTACATTTGTTATCCGCCCACATTTGTTATGCAGAATTTCTGCGCGTGCCAAATTGAACAGAAAATGCTGTAATTATGGTAGTATTTACGTCTTTTTTTCAATTAGCAGTATAGCAACTTTTTACCAGTAAATTATAAAGAATTTTGAATAATAATAAATACACTTAATCAAATTTACAAAACTTATCAAAATAGATTTTGAAACGCTTACAATAATTACCCATTTCGGTCCCTGCTTATAATAAAGCTTTAATGTTAATAAGAAATTACGAAATAAATTCAAGGTTTAATTTAATTCTTGCTCAAACTAAGGCAAAGTTCGTTTTGTAAATACAAAAAAACTTTATTAGCTCGCCATCTATTCTTGGTCAGCTTAGTAAACGTTTTGGTGCAATTACAGGCACGTGGACTTGTCAACTTATGTCCTCTCAAACTAAAGCTAAAGCTCCGAATCAAAGTTCATTTTGTAAATCTCAACCAAAGATAAGCTGTTCTTAATGTTCTTAAATTTATTCTATTATCAACCATCTATCGACTATAAATTTATCTGAACTACAATATAGATCAACAAAAAAAATCAAACGAAACAAACTTGCAAGCTCGATTTATTAGATATCGTTATCACAAATGCCAGGTAAGTTATCGTGATAAGCAAATATAATTGTTTGCATAAAAACTCGCAGCAAAAAGTTGCAGGAACAATATCCAGCTATGTTTCTAAGAACAGATACCAGTGTAACATGCTTTGTATTCTCGGAAGGGACTAGACTATGTGATTATTGTTATAGGTTTCTATCACGACAGGTTAAGAACTTATTTCACAGTCCAAGTTGTATCCTATATATGTCTTTGCTAAATTTCGAATAATAGAAACCCTACTCTAGAATGAAAGTTTGCTACGTTTGATAGGAATAATATACAGCTCATGAAACAATATTAATACAATCTTTGTCTAGCAGAAACATGTGGTTAGGGCAATTTACAATCTGGGCCCCAGAGTGTCTTTGAGAGATATGTTATTATGCTAAGAAAAATATTAATTTTTTATGAAAAATAGCGACAGTTTTTCTAGAAAAGAAGTATTGTTTTCTAGAAAAAATATGACAATAATGCACAAACCACTTATCACGAAGTGTTATCTATTGTATCATAAATTCATAACTTAATTGTGAATCACGTGTAATATTGTATGTTTATTATAGAGCAGATTACATCCTTATGTCTATCCAAGTACATCTCTAATGCAATGAAATGTCCTTGTTTACAACTTTAAATAATGTTATAGGAACAATAACGCAAAAGCCGTGGTAGCTTAAAGGTTTGACCTATCGTCTCTTTTTCGGGATTTATATGCTATAATCTAATTTAAAATTTACCATGAGCTTTTCGGGGAAATGTAACATCAAACATGTTTAAAGTAACGAGATTAAAAAATATCTACATTTCTCTTGCGGTAACTTCGTACATTATCCACATAGGAAAAAATGGTTAGAGATCACTATTCTTTTAATGATCGCGGAAGTAATATTTTTTTTAGAAAATGTGACATGCGCCCTTTCAACTAACAGCGGCGGCATTGTAATACACAAGTAATTCCTTTAGTAATTTTTCAATACGTATTAGGTTGTGTAAACCTGCGTAAAGACGAAGTGGATCGGAGATCAATATGAAGCATTCGCAAACGAAACATATATAAGTTTAGTTAAAGTAGACCTCAACATAACTTATTTAGTCAAATGTATTTTGAAATAGGAACGCAACGTCGCACTAAATTCCGATAAAGTTCGTAAGGTAGCCGATAAGCATCCAACGCATGCACGCTGCGTGTGCATCAAATTTGTGTACCGTTCAACATAAGATGAGCCCTAACTTCATACAGTTTTAACCATATCTTAAACAAACACGGCCTTTGAGAGGGACCAAGGTAAAACGAATGCACTCTAGATACAGCGATTCTAACAATACCCTGCAATGGAAATTGATCTATATTCACTTATCTCTGAATACTTATTACTATTTGATTTTGTTCAATCAATGGATCATTATTATTTAAATTCAGATGTATTTCGCTTGTACGTAATTACAATTACTTTAAAGTGGAGAAATTACTTTATCCTCTCAAGACCCAGTAAATTACAATGGGAAGTGCTAAACGCACAATATACATTACAATGTACTAAATATTATATATAATATGCTTCAGGCCGAAACAAGTACGCCCTCAGTTTAGTACGAAAAACGCAATTTGCTTGATACTCTCTGGTCACGTAAAATATATAACGCTAAATTTGAATGCGATATTTTTATTATAATGTGCAGTACGCGTTTACATGATCATAGGAATATCGTCTGGCTCTGAATCACTTCACATATTACGTACATTTTGATGTACTCGGGACCTTAGGAGGTTATAGATATCAAAGTACGTATTTGTCTAGTGACAGTTTTTGCGATCGTTACGCTTTTATCAATATACAGTAACGCCTAAGCGAATTTGCTTCGTGTGACTGATATATTTATTTACTAGCTGGTGCCCGTGACTTCGTCTGTGTAGAATAACTCCGAGTAGCCTACTGTACTACTTACTTCAGAAATGGTTCGTTTTCCATACAAACAACAAAACACACAAAATTAGTAGCAGTAGAGCTACTTGTAAAAGACCGTTCGTCCAGGGAAGTACTGCCACCTTACCTTTTTATTATTTTTTGCCGCCAAGCAGTAACGTGAGCATTACTGCGTTCCGGTTTAGAAAGGTAAGGGGTCCTGGTGAAATTACGGGCACATGGAACTTATCACTTATGTCTCAGGGTGACGGGCGCAGTGGTAGTGTCCAATTTGCTATATAAAGCCCTGATTGGCACTGCAAATGTTATTGATAGGCGTGTTGCTTTATGTCAGGCGCACGACTAGTTCGTCCCGTCATTTGGTACTATAAAAAAACTTTCATCCCCTATTTCACTCGCTTTAAGATTTATTGTTGTGACAAAAAGTTATCTATGTTCTTCTCCTACGTCCATATATCGCTATACGAAAACTCATTAAAATTGGTTGCGGAGTTTAGGTCTGAAAACGGTACAGACCGAGTTACTTTCGCATTTATAATATTACTTTGGATTTTGTTATTACGAGTAAATGTTAAGAAAGAGTGTACAGATAAAATGTTCCAAGAGCGCAACTCAACGCAATTGACCTTTCTCAAATGTAATTGAGTGACGCCTGCTAAGATTTTTAAAATGCACACTCATCAAAACATTTTGGTAACATTGAGTCAGCGTACACTTACTACTATGTATAAAAACCACAAAGTTCTAGTTCTTTAACGGTTCAATGACGAGCGTTGAGGATTAAGTTTATAAGAAACGTGCGTGATGAGTAATAACTTACATTACCATACGATTACAGAATTTGAGCATGAATTATTTTATTAATAGCCGCAAGTCTGTCTCGCAATATTGTTCCTTGAGTAATGAACAGAAGAATTATTATTTTAATAGAGCAAGTCGCATCACGTCTGTATAAGTGTCGAGAAAAAGAGCTGTCTAAGTAATTGTGATAATTTATTTGGCGAATCGACGCGCGAGCACGTTACGTATCAACGCGTATCGTTAACAACAAATGCGTTTGTGTGTATGCAATGTTGTGTTTGCCATTGACAATGAGTCACTGTGTGGTAATGTCGGAGGACATCTATTTCGGCGCGATGAGATTATGATTATTTCACAGAAATATACTAAAAGCCTTAGTAAGTTTGTCGATTTCTTTTTTATTAGTAAACTACCCATACATTTAACCCATCATGTGTTTTAGAGGCACACTTAACGATTTTGGTAAAAATAAAACATAGTTTTTATTTTTATTTTTTTTATGGTGGATTACAACACAGTTGCTCGTATCTATTATATCTTATGCCATTTAAATTGAAATAAGGTATTAAATTGCAATGCTCTAGAGACCGACCTCGGAGCATAACAGGGCTTTTCTCTCTGCGTCTTCGAGCACTAAAATTTATACCTTATTTCTATTACAATAGCATAAAATATACATTGATAAAAAGGTTTCCGCTGGCCCTTAGAGGCACCGTGTGACTCTAGGACGCTACAGTACCAAAATTGTAAAGGATACCTACCATAGTAGGATGCGTGACATAAAAACGGTTAATATCATAATAAGCTTTAACTGCTTTTCGCGTCTCCTTGTAAAGTTGGCTTTATCGACTAGTACCCCTTTTCGCTAGAGCCACAGAATTAATAGTATTTAAAATTGAGCACTCATTTCAAAATAATACGACTACGTGCTACATAAATTTAAAATCGATTAACGTAAAAGAGCAAATAAGCAAAGTTGTACTGTCTCCCAATTAACAACAATTTGCGTTAATTTTCATATGTTTAGAAACTTAACAAGATGGTGAAATTTTATTTCAAAAAATTATAATATTTTTTGAAGTAGATCAAAATTTGCCTGTTCTTAGGGTTATATTAAACTACACCAACACACACACTGATGCCCGCGACTTCATACTGTACTATACAAATTTTTATAGTTTTATTGGATCTCCATACAAACTTCCATCCTATATTTCACCGTATTTAAGATTCATTTTTGTGACGAAAAGTAGCGTATGTCCTGCTCCTAAATACCATCTAACTATATACTAAAATTCTTGAGTTACTTTATACAGAGTTACTTTCGCATTTATAATAATAGTTTGAAGAGCTTTGAAAATAGTTTTATTGTTTTTGTGCTTCATGACTTAGTTTAACCTGCATAAATAAACCACATAACCGTTGTTTCGAGTCAAGGTTCAAACGTTCGAACATTATAGGCTTTAGAAAACAGTACATAAAAGTAGTCAATCTATCCGCGATTTCTAAACAATCTACTTAGCATAACAGTAGGCGTAAGTCGGCCATACAAAAGGCAATAATCCTAGCCAAAAAGTTAGGTGATTGTTGTTTGTCCATTTTGTTGCAATAATAATTGTTGTACAATTGGATTAAAAGACTTTTGTAGTGTCTCTTTATTATTATGTACAAATCAGGCAAGCAGTTGAAACAACAGATAATTGACTGTATTCAGATATAACCCATTCTTTTGGTGTTTGTGTGTTGCTGATTATGGTATGCGTGTAATTTAATTGAGTAATAAACAAGTATAAAACCGTAGCTCAGCTAATTAATCACCTCTTTAAAATTTACGGACGCCTTTACGTACATCATGTTCTTTGAAAACTTTTAGAGTCTTTAAAGAAACTTGTTGTTGTTGTTTCGGTCTATTTGTTTTTCAAAAGTATGTATACTTGTAAACTCAAAGGTAGTACAAGTACTGATTTCCGACAACCATTTTAGAAGATAGCAGTAGATTTTTTTTTTAATTTACTGGAATATTTTATTTGTATATCTACAAACACAAATTGTATTTAATCTAATTTTGAATTTCAATATTGACGCGGTTGCTGCAAGGAGAGATAAGCTAGGCAATCTAAGGCTGAAATTTATAAAAAAGAAATGGCGAGCATAGCATGTTTTTCGTATTTATAAAATGAACTTTGCTTTGCTTAAGAGGCTTTAAGGAACTGAAAAGTGAAGCAACAAGGTGAAGTCGCTCACCCTCGCGTAGTTCATGTCCCGCTCGGCGCAGGCGGCGGCGAGCTTCTCCGACGTGTCGTGCAGCGTGGTGCGCACGGCATGCAGGTCGCGTGCGCGTGCGTCGCGCTCGGCGGCGGCGGCGCGCGCCGCGGCCTCCGCTGCGGCCACCTCGCTGGACGACGCGCTGCGGGCGGCCCGCTCTTGCTCGAGGGCCGCTTGTAAACCCACCACCTTCACAAGAAACAACATTACAACGGATGTTGTATTCAGACAACAACATTCGAACCTACTTAAACTTTATCACAATTCACACGAGCTACATTTTTGATTGAAATCAGAAATAATTGAAAGATGGTAAGGTTGATATTACTATTATTGTGAAGTGATGAATGCTAGAAAATCGAGTGTATTATTTTTTGTTTTTACTCTCTCTCTCTCTCTCTCTCTCTCTCCCTTTCTTGTTGTTGTTCTCATAAATAACTTAGTTTCGCGGTGCTTTAGTTTCTTAACTATAATACTGTGTAAATAAATGTACAATAAATAAACAATTATTATAGTTCTTTGAAATAACATGATTCCAGTGATGTTTGAGATGTGTTGAAGTTTCTAGAGATATAGTGATGTAAAATCGAATGAAAAAAAAATCTATTTAAATATCTTATCAAAATAAGTTGTATCAACTTACAGAAAATAATTTAAGAACGGATAATAAACAAAATAGGAGGGATTAAATTATTATGTTATTAACTTAGTATAAAAACTGCACAACAAATAAAAAATGAACAATAATCAAATAAAAGTCAACAACAAAGCATAAAATTAACTAATTGAACAATCAACAATGACTCCAAAAACATCACGCAAAACTCAAAACTAAAGAATATAAGGCGTATGCACTCATGTAGACGCGAGATACACAATCGAGTCCATTCGATTTATCGATTTTATGGTGTAAATCTCTAAGGGTCATATTCCAGAACTCTACTCAATGCTTAAGTCAGGATTTGAGAGCAGACTTGAGTATGATTTGAAGCACTGGAAATACGACCCTAATGGCAAGGACTTGAGTATGATTTCGAGTGTTTTAAACCATGCTCAAATCCTGACTTGAGCATTAAGTAGAGTTCTAGAATACGACCCTAAGACTAAAATATTCCATTTCCTAACCAAGTAATAGGGTAGTATATTTTTATCTTTATCATTTATTTCCTTTCTACTTAATATACTTTAATTTTTATTTAAAATTAGAACTGAAACAAATATTGTTTATTTTTGATACACAATAACAAATTTACTATTTCTTTTTGTAACCTGGTTGACAGATAAGTTATAAATAGTATGCGTGGAACATAAATATTAGAAATGTCACAGGACTCATCCCATGTGAAATGGACTATAGATCATTTTCACACTGAATTCGAAGTCGATGATAACAGGTAGTAACTTGTGTAGTACCTTTTCACTTTCCTGGCGATGTTCACCTTCGAGCTTCTGAAGGCGTTGCTGCATTTGGCGGTAGTCCACGCCTAGCATGGACATCTGCCGGTCTTTCTCTTGACAGGCGGAGTCCGCGCGCTGTCGGGCCGCCTTCTCTTCGTTTAGCTTGCTTTGCAGGGCTATATTGGAATGAAGACAAATTATAATGGTGAATGAAAATGCTTAATCTTTCAATTTTAACATGAAAAGCGTGTATTCAAGTATATAATCCCTTTTTTTTATTTGATACTTTTGGTTCCCAGAAAGTTCAATTTTGAAAAATATACGTGTTTTATGGAATATCGAAGTATAAAAAAAATTGTAAAAAATAATTTGTTATGGAAAATGAAATTTCAACTGTAGGATTATAGTGATGCTTAGCTAAAGACATACTAAATTACTAATTAATAATAGATACACATTAGCAAAGATGAACAATACCTTCAAATATTTTTTCCAATGTTCCTGAGGCATGCAAAAAGTGGAAGTTTGAAATATAAATCTCGATCAGTACTTTAGCTTATTAGATATGAAAGGACTGTAGCATGATGTTTGGGTATAAAATATAGCAATTCAGTGGGTTTGAACTCACCTTTGACTAGCTCTAAATTGGCTTCCTGTTTGGAGAGAAGCTGCGACCGCTGCGTGTCCTGGTGCGCGCGTACTTCTTGCTGATACATGTGCTGAGCGGTTCGCATCTCGTGCGTCAGTGCCGCACAATCTTTTTCTAATGATGACACGCGCTCAGTGAGTTGCCTGTTGTCAGCCATGATCTGCGTTAATCTTGTAGACGATCGCTCTAATTCCACATTAGCAGCATTCAATCTACTGGTCGCTTCTGCGACTACAGCATCGGAACGCTGCTTAGCTGCCTTTACAGTAGCTAATTCTTCACCAAGGACACTGCGTTCTCGTTCCAAGGCATCACGCTGAGCACGCAGGCTAGCCACTGTACCATCGTTAACAGCAGCCGCGGCGGCCTGAGCAGCGCTTAACTCTGCGGCTTGTTTCCGCGACTTAGCTGCAGCTTCTGCTTCATGTTTTAATTTTTCACGTAACTCTGTTAACTGCATCTCCAAGACATTAATTTTCTCATTGTAGGTTTGCAAATTACTTATTTCTTTAGATCTTTTGCTCTGCTCCTCTTCTAGACGTTTCTTGGCATCATTGAAATTAGCTTCAGCCTTTCTTCTGCTATCAGCTTCTGCTTCAGCTTTCCTTTGAATTTCTTTGAGGTCATGGCGCAATAATGCCAATTCTTTGTCCGTGTCAGATATAATCTTCTTATTTCTTGATTCTCTCTGGGATAATTCCTCTAACTGGGCACACAGTGTAATTTGTCTATCTTCTAATTTACGTCTGCTGTCTCGTTCTCTTTCTAAAAGTTTCTCTAGCTGCAATATTGCTTCAGATCCAACATTATTAATATGATTATTGGAGATTGTATCTACTACATCTGCAGCTCTTTTACCACAGCAAAGCTGATAATCCCCGTTATAGGTAAAACCAACAAAAGGTAAATGATTGCCAACAAACGCTTTAGGGACTGGAAAAGATTCATCAAGTGCATCAGATTTTTCAATATCATCAAAGTTCCTAGTATCGTCATCACTGGACAGCTCTGGCACAACTGGTGGCACTGAATCCCTAAGATTATCAAAACTCCACTGCTCATTGATAAAGAAAGGATGCTGTTTAATTTCATCAACACTGTTTTTTCCCAATCTCTTTGTTCTATCTGTTAACAAGCCTCTAATAAGAGACTTCGCTTCTTTTGAAATTTCTACATCCTCAGGAAACTGCAATGAATTTCTGTGATCCATAATTTTTCCATAAGTTCCTACTAAACTGTCAGCATAGAAAGGTGGATCACCTATTAACATTTCATACAAAAATATTCCCACAGCCCACCAATCGCATTCACGACCATAGACTCCCTCACCATTCTGTGACTGCAGCACCTCAGGTGATATGTAGTCAGGAGTACCAACGGCATTGCTTGCTCGTACTAGTCCATCAGGGCCCATCCTCATACATGTACCAAAATCAGCCAGTTTTAAGTGTCCATACTTGTCAATGAGCATGTTATCAGGTTTCACATCTCTATGCACAAAACCCATACCATGAATGACATCCAAGGCTAAAACAATTTCCATAGTATAAAACTTTGCCCATTTTTCAGGTATGTCATAATTAGACATGAGGCTCACAAGATCTCCACCAGGCATGTAGTCCATCACCATGTACAGATATTTATGGTCTTGGAAAGCAAAATGTAGCTTTAAAATCCACTCAGAGTTAGCATGTGCCATGATATGCCTTTCTTCCCAAAAGAATGTTGAATCCGACCTTTTAATCATTTCTACTTTACTCAAAAGTTTCATGGCATACACATGACGTGTGGACTTGTGTCTGACTAGTTGTACTTCACCAAAAGCTCCCCGACCAATAACTTTGATTAAATCAAAATCAGCTGCTTTCATACGTAGATCCACTATTTCTGAAGCAAATTGTTCATCTACAACAAAAAAGATTAAAAACTAAATAAGTTTTCTACTGTAAGTTTCTTTCAATAAACAAATTGAAAACACAAAATGATAATGGCAAAGACTGTTTAATAAGAAACATTCATGCAAATCTCCATTGTAAATTAATACAAAACTATCTCTTAACAATGATGTTTTATTTACATCAGCTATTTCATATCAATTTTAATTGGAACATGCTTATTTAAACTAAATTACTGTCATGTCAACACATAATAGATATTTCTTCTACTAATTGTTCAGAGGGCTTGGAAACTAAGATGTTTGGAGCAATAATTTGTGCTTTTAAAGTGTACAAAAGGGATGAATTAATAACCATGATCGTTGTTCACTCACATCTACCGGTGTAGGCTTCAACGTTCTTCATGCGGCGGATGGCTGGGTGGTCACAGTCGGCGACGAGCGCGGTCACGGTGTCCAGTAGACAATCCACGTTGCCGGTGGAGCGTGGGTCGCAAAGACGCTCCTCCAGCGCGTGGAGCCGCTGCATGCGCTCCTCATCCATCACCGCCTCCATGCTCAACCCTGTCTGACCTCACCCACTAAACGCCACCGCACATTCTCCCGAAATCTACTCCGACTCACACCACTCTCATCGCGACACATCAATCGTCTAAATATCTTGCAGAGACTATGCCGTAACACTCTAAAACACTCGATAATTTATCATCAGATGCTGTAACGTATTATAATATGTTTCATTATCGAAAAACTGAGTTGCTACAGCTCAGAATGACAGCAGATAAAGGTGGTTCGAACAACAAAGCATATGCACGTTTGCAAACATAACACACTAAGAATTTACATTTATAACTTCTCCGTTGTTGGTAATCGTTTTTGAACAATAAAATAAAATAATTGTTGGCACAATTTATAAAATATAATGATAAAATTACGAAATAATCAACCGCTTGATTGATGAACGATGATCGAACAATAATGTGAAGTTAGCTGCATAAAATAAAAGTTCGCAATGGCGACAGTAACCCAAAGGTCTTTTAACGTAACACCTATATAAATACAAATCATTTTACGTGGTATATTACATATTATATGCAATGGATTGGCTGTAACGATTTCACTATGTAAATACAAAAAAAAATGGAAATTCAAAAAAGGACAACGTAATTTAAAAATCTGCCTTCTATAAAAAACTTATTTTATCTATGGTATTTAAGATTAACATTTGCAAAAGTGAAGTAAAGGTAAAAAATATTGAGAATGGTTCCTTTACGAGTTATAAAAAGATGACAATTTAAGAATTGTATGTTTCGTGTACGTCTTAGAGGATGGAAAAAAAAGTGTACGTACATATTTTCATGTGACTTAGGTAAAACATAGCCAATCTTATTTATTTATTTGATTATAGACGAGCAGCTTTCGCTGGTATGTCTGCATCACAGAGTGTTGAAATTTATATCGTTTGTTTTAGTTAACTTTGCATTTTAGCACTAATTCACTCTTTCGTAGCTGGGTACAAAAGTCGAGCTTGTTTTCGAAGTAGCATGCTCCAATTGTGTACCACTCCGTTGCTGAAAAAATTGTATGCAGGAAAGAATTTTGGAAGGTGCATGAACTAGTATCAGACGGTGGCCACGTGACAGTTTTATCGTAGAGTATAATTTTAGAAAAAAATAGTAACAGCAATAAGATACACGATATTTCGTTACCAGTAGAGCTAGCACAACAGGTCTCGACTGGTGCGAGATACTACTATTTTTGCATAGGGTCTCTCGCGCGCAAGTCGCCCACTGTCGTGCTAGCCCTACTGGCAACACGTCACACTCCCGGCGAGGACAACCGGGGTGCTAACTACACAGGGTGTAATCGTTAAGTGTGCCCAGGCGATTATTCCATAAATATAAGAGATACCAAAAAGCTTTAAACTGACATCGAAAGTACCTAATGAATAAATCGACATCAATAACTTTTTTTAAATAAAACTAGAAATATATAGACGTCTCGATAAAAATTTAAAAAATGCATACGTGGTTGCTACAGACTACGAAAATAACAAATATTTCAAAGGTTAGTAAAAACTAATTAAATATTATTTAATTGTTTAATATTGCATAATGTCATTAAATATTTCGAGAGCTGTACTAGAACTGTAGAGTCGTCTTATGCTTAGACTTCAACACCTTCCAAAATAAACCATGCTTTACTGCAGATTATGGAACACCAGTTGGTGTTGCACCTTACATGCAATATGACAGATGAAACTATAATGAAATTTACCTTTAATTTATATTTCATTCAAAACGATAAATGTTATTATGGTGCAGCATCAAACTGTTAAATGTTTGAGGTGGACCACCATCAATATAAGTTTTGAGTACTTCTATTTCATACGTAAGTGGGGAACCACGGGAAGAAATAATTGGCCGTGGTCCACCCAGGTGAACCAGGAAGATAGTCCACGAGCAAGAAGCGAAACTGCAGAAAGTGGATTAACGATGCCAGACCGAAAAAGGCTAGAGACACGTCCGTCAAACAGCAAGTTCAGAATATCACGCTGAGGATTAAGGGTCGTATTCCAGAGCTCTACTCAATGCTCAAGTTAGGATTTGAGCAGACTTGAGTATGATTTCAAGCACTGGAAATACGACCCTAATGGCAGGGACAGTATGATTCAAAGCACTAGAAATCATACTCAAGGCCTTGCCATTAGGGTGGTATTTCCAGTGTTTATTATATATCAATTAGTGTGGTAATACACGTCCGATATCGTGTCTGATGGTCCGACGGGTGGATTCGACTATCGGATCGGATTCAATCAATACACGTCTGATAGGCGTCCAATTCTTACGTCAGACTTTTTCTGAACTAACTGCAGTGTTGCCAATTTATGGGAAATTCCCCAAATACAGGGAATTTCAACTCAACAACTCGTTTGCGGATTTTGTTTGGATTACGCTATGTGAGGGAAATGCCCTCGCATTCTAGAATTTTATCGCATTTTTGTTACATTGATGATCACTGATAAAAACACTCTCTGAAAATCTGATAATCGGATCGGACGTGTATTGAGTGTTCACACAATATGGTACGAGCGCCTTCCGGTAGTCGGATCAGACTATCGGATGGAAAAAACGGACGTGTATTGTCGCATAGTCTTGGGTAGAACATGAAATAAAAATTAGTTTGAGGGAGTACCTCATTTGAAAAAATGAGGCGGTACAACGTTCTACTTCAAATGAGGTGAGGTAGTGGTAAGAATGTTTGCACCTACGGCAATTAGTTAACAGACAGAATATTAAGCACATTTTCATAACTTGATGGTATCAATCAATTGGATAACTTAAGTGTTATGATGATATAGTATAAATAAATGCTAATTTTATAGTACTATGGTAGTATGATCATATGATGTAAAATGAGACAAAAAGCGGGTAGTGCAGAACCAATCATTTTTGCATTTGTTGAATTTGAAGTAGTGTGACATGAGTGGGGCTGTGACATGAGGTGAGGTGTGAGGTGGGACATTTTTATGACACGAGATGTTGTGACAAACCAACCAAGCGAGTGGTACAAACGAGTTGCCTCGTGTATGGGCAACTCAACACTATTGTTGCACTTACTCGCTCTGCGTTGAACGTTAATGCTCGCCGGAGTTTGATAATAAAGTCAATCGTGAGACATTGAACAAAACCAGTACAGCTGGTTACAATGCCGTAAACCCCCTAAACAAAATGGGTGTGTTGATTGACAGAATATGCTGAGTCACATGCATTCATAACGCATTCTGCGAAAAATCTATTTCTTCACTCAGACAGATACCTACGTTGCTATAACTTTCTGCACAATGTGGGTAACGTTCGACGTGTTGTCGCACGCTGCTGTTTGAGGACTAAAATTTGTCACAGGAATCAAATATAGTGTCTTCATGTATCTTCTTAAATTGTCTGTTGATTTAATATTGCCGTCAAATTTATTTAACTTTACTTTTGGCAAAGCAGCAGACGCTGGTTGCTTGTCTTAGGCATCTGACAAGATTCTGCTGATAAGTGAGGCTGCGCGGGAGTATTAACGATTTGACTTTGTGCCAACGTAATTGGTATAATATGTCAATGTCCTCAGCGGCATACTGTACATATGGTTCCTTCCTCTCCTATTTCGAAAAGCCCAGAAGCGGTTTCCTACAAGAACTTCGATAGCCTTTGGCAAAGACAGTAAATTCTCCATGCTACTGAGTACGCTTTTATTTTAATATTTCCATTTCATGGTCGTGATATGTGATAGATCCAGGTAAAATGCAGTAAAAATAGCGCCAATCTCATCGAAGCGTACAGTTACAATTCTAGAAAAACTAGCAACACAAATGACATTATATCGCAGCAACAGCAATTAGTTACTCGATATTTCGTTACCAGGGCAACACGTCACAATTTTATAGGTCTGTGATCGTTCGCAACTAACTTCATTCTGAAAAAAGAATGAACTTAATAATAATAAAAGTATTCGTTCCTATTCTGATGTGATTACTGTATTGCCAATTAATTATATTACCTCAAAATCATAATAACATTTTGATTAAATGTTAAATTTCATTAGAAAATGGTTGGCATGGTAATGGTTGTTTATATATAACTAATAAAAGAGTTTACGTTTCACATAACGTGTATGCGAAGTTTAAAAATAATTTATGATTTTGTTATAAGATAAATGGAACGTAACCATAGTAAATTTTGCAAAATTGAGATATGCTGCTACTCCATGTGTGCAAGACTAGACTGGCCGAGCGGTAAGGTGAGAGTAAGAAGTTAAGCATCACAAAATTATACAAGAGTAAAAAACACGGCGTCTGTTTGTTTTGTTACAACGGCGTATTATTTTAAATCTTTAATTTCAGAACGTCATTATTTTTATTTAATTCATTGAAATGAAGATAATACTGTGTTTTGCATAATTTTCGATCTTTTCATCACTACGTATATCTAAAATAAATCGGAAATAATACTTAAATGTTATAGGAAATTTACCTCCAGGTTGAAGAAAATTGGTCGGGTAAGTATATTTTAATTATTGCAATGCATTTATAAAACATCATAGACAAAAAAAAATCACCAAAATCAAGGATATTGTTCACTCACTCGTCAGTCCATTCATTCGAATGGAACATGGCGGTGATGGGCAGGATGTGCATAAGTTTTTGAGTTTTGCATTTATTTAGCGAAATTGCAAAATTCGCTTATTTGTTTTTGTTTATTTCGTTCTGTTTATTGCACTAAAATAATTGTTTTTGTGCATAGACCATATTTTTATCTTAAAACAGCTCGGACTCAGATTTGCCATGAAAATTATTACTTCGTTCCTGGTGTAAAAATAATTGTGACAAATATATCACGTTATATCAGGTAAAAAAGTTGTTTTACTATTGTATAATTTGAAGTGGCTTTTATTTTAACCCATAAACCTAAATCTAGAATAAGTTCCAGAATTTAATACTCTACCTGGAATTTTTAGTGTGTGCCCCATTTTTGTTTAGATCTTTCTGTTGTTATTTTAGTTATAATTTGTAAGACGTTAATTTTACGTAAACTAGTCTGAAATGTACACACTCGTACTGCAATTTGATGACACGAAATGCTGCTTCGTCAACACCATAGTGACAGAAATCTTTTCTTTGTGCTACCCCAATCACGTGTGATCCCAGGTCGTTATGGGGTCAATAACTGCAGAGTGTGACTTATTTTAGTTTCTATTATTGTTGAAATTGCGCTGAATCTCTGCTTTAAAAAGATTTTTTACTCTCTCGATACCGCATAGTATCGTAATCAAGCCAGTCATGTAAACAATTGACGATTTGCTGAAAAAGGAGAGATGCAAAGCAAGTGCGTAATTTTTGGCCAGTGCAAGTGCAAGAATGCTGTGTAGCAATAGCAGGGCACAGCGCATGGCGCTGAGAGCACTGGACGTGGCGGGAGTGGGGTGCGGCGGGCGGGGCGCCGTTCGTCCGGCAGTCAGCTGTGCGAAGTGGCATGTCGTGCCGCGCTCGTCGTGGGAAGTGCCCTAAATTAGTCGCCTCTCTATTGAATCTCTGCAAAATTTTAGTCTTGTGTTCTCTATGGAGAGCAATGACCTACATTTTCCTGCCAAATCTCATTGCAATTTTACAGTTCATTGATTATCTCATCATAATTGCATTTGAATATGAATGCATTTAATCAATTTATTTTCTATTGTTTTTGTTGCCTAACATATCTATTCTAATTGTTTATTCCTGTCTTCATAAATCAGTATTTTTCATTTACTATTCTATCAGGTCGAGATGGTGATTACATTTTAAATTTAAATACTTCATAATATTTTTTCAATTTTTTGTAGATTAATTTTCTAATACATACTTTTAGAAAATTAATCGACAAAGTGATATGACAAAATTAATAATTATAAAGAATATAGGTTACATGGAAATAAAACTCCATATTAACAAACATGCTTAATATAAGACTTCAAAGTAAAATGTTGAGACTGCACATCTTAATAAACATTTTAACCTAAACCTGACCTTAGAAAAATGTTTCATAGGTATTTGTAATAACATGTCTGAAACCACACGAGTTTTCAGTTTGTGTTTTCATTGTTTCACGTGTATGTTTCGCATTGGCCATTGTTGTGCAATCAACAATTTTCAATAAAGTCCTTTATGGGCCGTCGTTGGTCGTAGCCGATAAGTATAGCCCACACTTACTTGTTCTCCATGTATTTAATCAATGTTTGATTAAAACTCTTGATTCATTTCCTGCGGCTGTGAGTATTTTGGAGATTGCATTATTGTTTAACAATATCTCATTATACTGTCTTTTCCCATTATAATTTTTCCTAATTGCAAATACAATACTCACTTTGGTTTATGTATAAATATGATGAATTTCAAACTGCATCAATTGCATAACTATTCTCAATCATGAATAGGCTTTTGTCAGTATATAAATCTATTTTGACATCTAGTTTTTTTTAGTTAAAGTACCAATTTTGTTTTTGTATAATAATGGATAAAATAATAGCAATAATAAGAAAAAAGTATATATTATCACAAGCATGAAAATCATGTTGTTGGTGATTAATATGAATACTAAATGTAAATTTTAATTCCAGCGCGCCGTGAAGGCCATGGCTACACTTATTCAAGAGAATGGCACCCATGGAGTGGTAACTAACCATGGCATATCACACAGTGTCCCCAGCCACATGGTGCCTGACCATGAATATTGTGAGCCGGGCAACCAGCCCGAGCTACAACCATCAGAGGCCATGGAGACAGTGGGGGAAGTATCTGCCAGGACTGAAGTAGAAGAAGAAGATACACCGGAAATAGACATCATGATAAACAATGTCGTGTGTAGTTTTAGTGTTAAGTGTCACTTAAATTTGAGACAGATTGCTTTGAATGGTGTTAATGTTGAATTTCGACGGGAGAACGGAATGGTTACCATGAAGTTGCGACGTCCATACACGACTGCGTCGATTTGGTCGTCAGGGCGGGTGACATGCACGGGCGCAACCAGCGAGGATCAGGCGAAAGTAGCGGCTCGTCGCTACGCCCGCGCTCTGCAGAAGCTAGGATTTCAAGTTCGCTTCCGCAACTTCCGTGTAGTAAATGTACTAGGAACCTGCCGGATGCCTTTTGGTATTCGAATTATAGCATTCTCCAAAAGATATAAGGAAGCAGAGTGAGTATTGTTTTATGATTTATTAACTACATTTATTTCTCTCGTGCGTTTGGGTGTAATTTGTGGTTGTCTGTACACAGAATTCCCTATTGCGGGGCTATGAGTGAGTGCGTTAAAAAAATAAATAAAAACCAACTGCTTTTCATACATTTCGCTGTCATCTCGAGGCACATGCGCTACTTCTACACAACGTCGTATCCTATATTGACAGAATGACCACTCAAGTAAATATACAAACTGAAAGAGAAAGGTTAATGTTAGCATAGTTATTTCTGTTAACGTAAAAAAGAAACTTCATTACTTTCATAACATATACCTGTTTATTATTAGGTTTGGGAACATCAAGAAATTAAACCCTTTTTTTCTTGGAGCAGTGAAAGAATAAAAGAAATTGTTCTGTATTAAAAAGTCAAAACTTGCCAAAATGCATTTTGGAGGTCCTATTACTTCTCCGTCAATTCCACTGAAGTATTTTACTGTTTAATGTCAATGACACAATGACATTTTACTTTTGTAAGGCCCAATGCAATTTACATTATAATTAGTTCCAGTTCATTTACCTCATAATATTAAAATACCTGCTTCCAGATTCGAAAAGATAAAATGAATACATAATTTGCCTATTTTATTTATAAATATGCTGATTTTATGCGAATTTGTTAATATTTGAAGGACTACCGGCCACGTTGTAGTCAGCGTCAGTGACGCCGCGAAGCTGTTGATAATTGTAATAATAATAGTAACGCATCCACTCAACCTTGTATCGTGGGTGCTATGGACACACACATAGACAATCACAAATTAGACCCAAAATCACGAGCGAAATAATTGTAGGCGCTCCCGTACATTTCATTGTGAAAATGGAACTGACGATGTGTCGCCGCAGCTTGCACGTTTTGCTAAATAAAGTAACTTACAAATAAAAACAAATATAGATTTTTTTTAAATCGTTATAAAGCAAAACAAAACCTTATAACTAATTACAATTTAGCCATTTTACGAAACTAATTTTAATTTAACCTAATTTCTTAAAATAAAAGTAACTAAAGAAATTGTCCTTTTACATAATATCTTTTAATTATTGTCTTATTTACACTGGTACTAATATTTATTCACTATAAAATAACTACACTAAAACAGTTCAAAAGATTTAGTTCTTTGTAGTCTAGGCACTATATTTGAATTGTCAAGTAGCTGTATGGCCTCCTATGTTCACGTGATGTGTTTGTGAGCTGCGGCGTACTTTTTTATAACTTTATCTACGGGCTCTATATTCAAATCGCGATGCAGATCCTCATTTCGTACATACCAAGGAGCGGCCACTATTGTCCTCAGTATTTCATTTTGGAAGCGTTACATTATCTGTATGTTGCTTTTAGCGGCACAGCCCCAGAGCTGGATACTATAGCTCCTCACTGGCATAAGGACCTGTTTATATATTAATATTTTTTTATATATATATTAGCCAATACATTTTCTTGAAACATATTTCAAGTTCTTCTTTTTTCTTCTTGATGTGAGCTTTGCAGTGTAGCTTCACTTCGATTATAGAATTTAATATATTATTTTTTAATTGCATTTCAGCTATGAACCTGAGCTTCATCCTGGCGTTACATATAAGCTGTACAACCCTAAGGCCACTCTGAAGATTTTCTCCACTGGCGGTGTCACAATCACAGGTTGGCATACGACCATACCTTAATCATATTATGCAAGCCATATGCCAATATTATAAAATGTGACAGTTTGAATATTTGTTTGTGAATATTAAATCATGGAGTAAATATTGAATAAATTTATGTCACTTCAATAGATAGATGATGTGTCTTTGATCCACATACACCACTTAATTGCATAGATGTCAAGAAAATATGGATACTTTAAAAGTATGTGTAAACTTGAGAAAGTTCTAATTGTTTTAAAAATCTTTTGCTTTATAGTCCCTGTATTTGTGCAATGTGGCCAGGAAGGGTAGAAGCTGTTAATGAATAAGATTGAGGTAGATTGTGCATTTCAGCCCGGAGCGTGAACGATGTCCAATCGGCGGTGGAGCGCATCTACCCGCTGGTGTACGAGTTCCGCAAGCCTCGCACGCCTGCCGACGAGGAGGCGCTGGGGCGACGCCGCGCGGCCGCCGCCGCCGCCGCTGCGCCCGCGCCGCCGCCGCCGCCCGCACCGCGCGACGAGTTGCGCCTTGTCACAATGTCCGATTCCGATGACAATGACACCTGGGAATGACGGCACCGACCGCCCCAAGCCCGCCCGCCGCGTCCTGCCCACTCCGGCGCCACCTACCGCTAACCTCGCACACGGGCTTGGCCGTGCGAGATGCGTCGCCAGGGCGGCGGCACACCACATTCGACGACCGGGCCCGCCGATCCTTCGTTCAGGTCTCGGGCCTGAGAGCCGTTTCGGTGTAAAGCAATAACTATCGATTAAGTGCGATCGTGTGTGTCTTGTCGGCGAGCTGTTCGGTTCATGCCAAAGATATTTATTAGACGAGGCGCCCCGTAGTCCTCGCTGGCCTGCGTCAGCTGCCGTGCTGCCTGCGGCCCGCCTGCGCCTCTCTCGAGCGTATCACTCTCGTGATCCTCCAACCTCCTAGTATTCTTAGGTGAAGTCTGTTCGTTATGTTATATGTCATGAAACTACAGAAAAGTGCGTATTTCAATCTCCGTAACGATACTCATGTCACGTTTCTAATTTGCCGTATGATCGATGAATTCGTAGTGATAATAGTGTTCAATAAGAAATGTTCTAAGAAAGAGATGACTGAATGATTAGTTAGATGTTAGTGTTGTAAATACGAAAAGCTTCGACATTATACGTTTAAATAAAAAAACACCATAGTTTCATTCATTTAATTCCAGAAAAATCTCTAAATGAAAATAAGGCACTGGTTACAACCCAGTAATGGCACTTCGTTCTCGAGGAGTTAAGAGTCCGAGTCGTGCGTGTCATATTCGTCGCTGGTGAAGCGGCCATGCGATGGTCGCGGTGGGCGCGCAATTCTTGCGCCGTGTAGGGGCGCTCGCCGTGCTCCGAGAGTAGCCGGCGCGCGAATATGCGCGCTTAGATCCACCACTGCCAGCCGAGGAGGCACAGCGGTGCCTGTTTAAGTAACAATTTAACATATATTATGACATTATTGTAAGAATTTAAGGTCAACTTGATATTCCACAAACCAACCAGTAACAATGGGAAGCACGTGATCGATATCTGGTACATTTCGGGGCCTGGAGCGTAGTACGTGATGACGCGTGAGACGGGGTGGCAGCGCTCGTAGCGCGGGGGGTGAGGCAGGTGGTAGTGGGGGAGTTAGCACGCGCGCTGGTAACACTCGCCGCTCGGGGGAAGTACTTGGAGATCTGTTGGATATACAAGATCAAGTACTATCAATTTAAAAACAGATTTACAAGTTTTTTAACAGTTGCTGAGAAAAGTAGGAATAAAATTCTACATATTATTTTAGCTAAAATCAAAATAATACCTCTCTCGTTCACGAGGCGGTCGCCTCCGACGGCGCCTGCCACGTAAATCTTTCTTCTTAGAAACTGGCACACGTGGTGGAATCACACCTATATGCCGGTAGTAATCGCAGAGGGCTTTCACCAGGGATCTGCCTATTTTTGTATCTGAATGAAGGAGTGAAGGTAGAAATATGACATGTGGCCATGTATATTTACCTAAACTCGTTCAGATAACACACAGAGTGCATAATGTGCATAACACTTCCCCTGAAATTCCAGAATGATTATAAATAAAAAGCAAAACATCGAAACAAAATAGGGAGTTACAGCTCTAATAATACGTTCTTTACTTACAATAGTAATTACAAAACTTTTCTTCTAAATACCCTACCGTAGTAAAGAAATGGGTAGTTAGACGTGAAAAATATAGATCGAAATACAATACAATAATTTCGGAATTTTAGAGAGGTATCTTTGAAGTTTAAGTAAATATTCTCGACCCATTCTTATCTGTATAGTCATGTAGGAGTACAGTCAACATCGAACCAAAACAAAATTATATATTCCAAACGGTAAAATTTTATCAAATTAGCTGCCATAATTACGAATATAATAAAATATACTACTGTATATTTTAACAAATATTAATGAATTTTTGGTGCACATAAAACTGCAAATAAAATAAAATAAAATAAATAAAAAAATTAAACCAGCAAATACTGCGTTGTTGACCCTTTCGTTACCGCAGGTGGCACCACACATTTACATAAACTTATTTATGTGAATAAATTTGTGTTTTAACTTTATTTAATTTTTTTGTTTTGTTTGTGAATTTTTTTAAATTATTATTTATGTTTGCATATTATGATTATTTTTTGTTTTTATTGTGTTTTATTTCTTTTTTTTTCTTTTGCGATGACATTTGTGGTACCTAGACAAAACAATGTATTTCCTTCCTTTTTTCTTCTTTTTTTATATTCATTGATATTTTATTAAGTGTACACATTGACTTAGTCAATGAGTGTACAGATGTTTTTGGCAAATAGCTCCACACTCCACAATTAACCACATCATTGAATATAAATATTTTTTTTTACTTCGAACGTACTTGTACACTTTCAAAGTTCAATTGAGGAAGTCACAATTATATGCCATAGTGTAAAGGATACAAGCGTCTTCCGTGTAATGAATGTAAGGTCCTTTGGGAGAGAGTCGGCGGCCACCCATAGAGACCTTGAGCGAGTAAGCGTCTGCGAGTCCAGTGGGCAAAGTGCGGCGCGCGCTACCTGCCAGGTTGTGATCTGTGTTGAACAGGCAATTTTCTGGCTGCCATGCTTCAATTCGTGCCCCAAGGAACTTGGGAAGTACCGCATGACGTTCGAATCTAGAACACGTTAAAACATAGCTACTACACGTCTAAAATTTTATTTTCGCGACGGGACAAACAACTCATGCGTCTGGTGGTAAGCGACGCGCCTATCTATGACAACTGCAGTGCCACTCAGAGCTTTCAATCGCAAGATCTGAAGGGCACTGCCACTGCGCCCGTTACCCTCGGTCATAAATTGACTCGTCTCATGTCACCAGCACGCTTACCTTTCAAAAGCGGAAAACGGTAATGCTCCCCTTACTGCTTTGGCGGTAGAAATATGTAAGATGAAATTGATTCAATTTAATTGAAAGTAAATTTTAGATATAAAAAAGCGCGGAGTGGAAATATAAAGCTTAAACAATATTTTATTCGTAATTAATTGTAATTCAAGTTATACTTCAAACTTTAATTATTAAAACATTAACAACGGACCTAAAGACGTCATCGTAAGAGTTCCCTCTTACAAACACTCCCTCGTGGCTTACATCAGCGTGAAGATCTATGATGAAATCCAGTTGTACTCCCTGCAACAACAAATTAGACCGTCCTTTTAGGCTCAGTTTATGTTAATTGTGCAAAGTATAAATTAAATACAAGCCAAAAAACCGCGACCTGTTTTTTCGCGTAGTCTCGAGAATTCTCGCTCAGTCTCGAGAATTCTCGCTCAGTCTCG